TATTAAATTCCACACATGAGCGAGAAGGTGGAATGCTTGTTTGTTTCCGTTAACACTGTGATGCTTTAGAGTTCCATTCTGCAGATGGCATTATTTTCTTCCCTCTTTGTGTATGTGTATGTGTGTGCGTGTGTGTATGTGTGTGTGCGTGCATGCGTGGGGGAACCACAGGTTGGTGAGTATAGCCAGGCTGGTCTCAGAGTGCGGGGTGTTGCTCGCAGTGCAGGCATGCTATCTGACCCTGATGCAGTCTGACGTGGTCTGATGCTTTCCTTTGGACATGCGCCGGCCTGCTCCAGGCAGGAGGGCTGGGGGCGGTTCTGGTCTTAGTTTGATTTCCACGCCGACTTCCACAACGGCTGCCACGCCAGCCTTCCCTCCAGCGCTGTGGGATGGCCAGAGTGTCTCCTTCCTTGTAGCCTGATGGCAGCCTCGGGGTGAGATGGAAGGGTGGTGCTGTTTTGATTCATCTTCTCTTCATGGCTAAGGGTGTTGAATATTTCTTCCTGGATTTATTGGTCATTTGTTAATTCTCCTCTTGAGAACTGTGCATTTCATTCATTTATTAATCAGATCTGATCTGTGTTCAAAAGCAGTCTTAGGGCTCTGTAGGAAAGGGAAACAGAGGCAAGGGCTGCGGGGGCGGGCACGCGGGGAGCACAGCATGTCCATGTCATCCTGGACTGGCCGTGGTCTGGTGGTCAGTACCACAGGCCCAGGTACCACAGAAGCCTGCAGTGCTCAGGACTGGTTCGTCTCCTGACCCAAGCTCACCAGTCAGCCCTGCTGCTCCCGGAAGTGGAGCCACAGTCAGGGGAGGAGACCAAGAGGCTAGAAGGAGGGAAAAGAAGCGAGACAACACTGGAAATGAGGAGGAGGTGGGCGGGTCTGTAACCAGGCCTCCCTCAGGACCAGCAGCCAGGCCCTGGATCCATTGTTGTCCCCACGGAAACCTTCCCTCCCTGGAGCGCAGCCCTGGCCTCTGCTGAGACAGAACAAGGCGTGGGCAGAGGCGCTGGTGAGAGAGAACAAGGCGTGGGCAGAGGCGCTGGTGGGGGTGCGGGTGGGGTCACCATGTTGTCTCCACACCTTCCATCCGAAGCTGGGGATCTGCCCACACCATGCACTGGATGCTGGGAAAACAGACTTCATCCAAAAAAGACCGAGGTCTGGAATCATCAGACAAGAACGAGGGGCCCTACTGAAAACAAGCCTGGTATGGCACACAGCTGTAACCCTAGCTGCCTCCGGAGGGGGAGGCAGGAGAACTGAGGACCAAGAGCAGCCTGGGCAAAAGCTCGACCCTCTCTGAAGGACAAGGGGTGGAGGTGTGGCTCAGGTGACAAAACCAAGTGAGTGTGAGGCCCCAAGTTCAAGCCCCAGTTACCAACATGCATGTGCACACACACACACACACACACATGCACACACACATCAGTGCATCTGAATTTTTACCCATGAACTTCTTACTGGGTCTAACGAATGGGTCCAAATGTCGACCCTGTGAAGTCCAAGTCAGTTATGTTGGGGAAACACAGGCCTTCTCAGCCTCCACCACCTTCTTCCTCTCTTCCTCCCCAGCTGCTCAGAGCTTTGGGCTTCTTGGGAGAATGTGTCCCTGAATAGCCACAAGGGGGCACAGTGACACACTCTGGAAATGGAGGTGTAGGTGTGATTGTGTGTGTGTGTACATGCACACATGCACGTGTATTCACGCAGGTCCTGAGGCTTGAGCTCAGGGCCTGGCGCTGACCCTGTGCTTTTTAGCTCAAGGCTGGCGCTCTCCCACTTGAGCCACAGCTCCACTTTTGGCTTCTGGCTTTCTACTGGTTATTTTAGAGGAGGAATCGTGAATTTTTCTCCCCAGGTTGATTTTGGAGCTGCAGTCCTCTGGCTCTCAGTCTCCTAAGTGGCTAGGATGACAGGTGTGAGCCCTAGCTCCTGGCCTGTGTGATTGTGAGTAATGCAAAATGGGAGAGGAACTGCAACTGGAGAAAACATTCCTGCTCCCGCTCCTCTCTCTCTCATGGGTGACAGCGGTGCTGTGGCTCCTGGCAGCTTCCGGGGGAGATTCTAACATCCAGAATCCCAGGAGCCTTGGAGGGAGGGCCACTCGGCAGTTAGGCCTTGGCCATGGGCACTGCGGAATGCTGGCCTCACCATTTCCTCCATCCTTGGGACCCTGGGAGTCAAGTTAACCTGACGAGCAATGCTGGCTCTGCTCACTGAAAGGAGCAGGGCTGACAGCTTACAAGTCAGGAATGATATATATATATATATATATATATATATATATATATATATATACTTCATTCAAAAAAACATCACGAAGAAACTCTGTGCTTCAGTTATCTATTTCAGAAAAGAGGAAAGGCTGAAGATTAATGTGTTAGCAAGGCAATTGGAAGCCACAGAAGGAACAGTACAACAAACCCCAAGAAAATACCAGAAAGCAATGATAAAGTTAAGCTGGATGTCAGTGACTCTCACCTGCAGTCTTAGCTACTCAGAGACTGAAATCCAGAAGATCTCAGTCAACAATTAGCTCAGAGAGAAAAGTCCACAAGATTCTATCTCCAAAATAACCAGCAAAAAGCCAGGCAGAAGACATGGCTCAAGTAGGAGAGCACCAGCTGTATATGTGTGAGGCCCTGAGTGCAAACCAACATTGTCAAATAATAATAATAGCAATAATAATGATAATGGTAATGGTAACAATAAAGCTAAAAGGAGTTAATGAACAACAAAAATATCGACCCAACAACGGTTTCTTAAACATGAGATTAACTTCAGAAAAGCCTATAATAGATAAAAAAAAAAAGACCCAAATAACTAAATTGCTAATAAAGAAAAAAAACGACAGCAAAGTTCTCAAATGTGTAAGCACATTTACCTCAGTAAAGTGGCAATCCCTAACTATTACTTCAATACTGACTCGGGAATAAGTCAGAAGATAGAACCACCTCTACAGACAAGGTGGAGGCAGGGAGGTCAGGAGGATGGTGCCACCTGAGGAACCAGCGTTACCACCTCTCATGGAGGGACAGCACGGGAGGGAGACAAAATATGACCCCAAAATCACGTGTGTGCCGAAGCGCACACACACACACACACACACACACACACACACACACACACACACACACACACACACACAGTTAAAGAAACGGAACTTCATTGTACCTCCAGCAGAGGGCACCATTGTGTCAATCACATCATCATCGAAGGCGAACCTGAGGATGGGCTTGCAAATGCCAGCTTTATTCTAACAAGCGACCTGAAGCTGCCCAGGGGAGGACTGGGGAAGGAAGGAAGAGGGATCTGGGCGAGGGTGCGTTGCCGTGGGCAGCTAAGGCTCCAGCTCTCTGGAATCCTCCTATGGAACCGAGAGCCATTTGTTCAATTTCCTGCCTTACTGAGCTGCCCTACTCCAAGAACGAGCTCCTCGGTTCTCTCTGCCAGAAGCCTCTAGCTGTGTGGCCTTGGAGATCTGCCTCCTGCATGCATACCCACATGAGCACTCTTTCTTACCTTTTTCACTCAAGGTTGGTGCTCTACCACTTGACCCACTTTTGGGGGTTTGGGGTGCTAAATTGGAGGTAAGAGTCTCACAGACTTTCTTGCCCAGGCTGGCTTCACATTTCAATCCTTAAATCTCCTGAGTAGCTGGGATTATAGGTGTGAGACACTGGCGACAGCAATTCATATATTATGTTAGGTAGAAAAAAATCAAATAAACGTGTGTGAAAAGCAAACCTAAGAAGGGAACACTTAAGACTTCAGTGCCAACCAGACATCCATGGAAAGGAGCTAGGGATAGTCAGGGGGACCCCCGGTAAGGAGGCAGATCCACACAGCCTTAACCCTGTGCGGGCTTACAGGCCAAGGCTGCCCTCACCAGGCACAAAAGACCAGGCCAGGCTGGAGCAGCACTGCCCTAGAAGAGAGGACTGTAGGCAGCTCTCTGAGGCTGTGAGACTCTGATCTCCAACTGCCCCACCAAAAGCCAGAAGTAGCACCGCGGTTCAAGTGGTAGAGCACCAGCTTTGAGCTAAAAAGCTCAGGGGCAGCACCTAGACCCTGAGTTCAAGCCCTGGGATCAGCATGCCGTCCCTCCCCCCTTCTCCCCCCAGCCAGGTCTGAGTCTCATTGTCTTCAATCTTTCTTGGGAAGCATGCCCTGTCCTCCAGCCTGCGGACACTGTCCCCTCATCCCCCAGCCTGCGGGGACTGTCCCCCCGACCCCCAGCCTGTGGGGACTGTCCAGCAGACGGGGTCAGCTCAGCTATCACCTATTTGAATGGCTCAGTTTGGGGTGATTCTTTACGAAGCCGCTTTGACTACACCCAGGGATGGACATTTGTATGTGTGCCAGCACTGGGACTTGAGCGCTTGTTCGACTTTCCTGCTCAAGGCCAGGTCTCTACGGCTCAAGCCACAGCTTCATGTCTTGAGTTCAAGTGTGTGCCACTGGAAGTGTGAACACGGATTTTGTGCAAAAACTTGTGTGTATGTATTCACGTCTGTGCGTGAGTGTGCAGGTGCGAGCATGTTGAGAGCTGGACGGAGTGTCAGCCCTAGCGCCACACACCCGTGATGCGAGTTTGCCAGGGCAAGTCCTGGAGGGACTAGCAAGGGGCAGGTCCTGGGACCTCGCTGGCCCCGCCCCGCCGCCACACCCATGGAGCACCCGCCCTGCAGGTCCCCTCCCACGAAGGCCCGGCCCACAGACCCGACTCCTCCAAAGAGCTCCCGTTCCGCAGCCACGCCCACAGAGGCCCCGCCCACAGCGCCCACTCTGGTCACGCCCACACAACTCTCCTTGCAGGCAGGTCCCGCCCCCCGCAGGCCCCACCCACGGGTCAGGCCCCGCCCATGTCCCCCAGGCCCCGCCCACGGGCCCGCCCCCGCCGCAGGTGGGCCGGCCGCCCCGGGCCGCAGCGCTCGCAGCTCTTGGCTCGCGGCCGCGCCGGGCTCGTTGGGCTGGGCCGGGGCCGCGGGGCGGCGCCGGGACAGGAAGCGGAAAGCCAGCGCTGCGGCGGCGGGTCGGCGTCCACTGCACCCAGCTGCAGGCCGCGGAGCCGGGGCCGCGGGGCCGCCAAGCCTGGCCGGCTGGCCGGAAGGTAAGTCCGCGGGAGGCGGGTCGCGGAGGCGGCCGGGGCGGACCCCCGCCCGGAGACCCCGCCGTGGGGACCCCTCGGGCCCGGGGACCCCGCCGTGGGGACCCCTCCGCCGGGCCCACGCGGGTCCACTCCGGACGCGGCCGCGCCCGCCCGCTCCCCCGAGCCCGCTCCTCCCGTGCCTGCGGGGCGCCGGGGCCCCGCCGCCCAGCCCACCCGCCCGCCCGCCCCGCGCCCGGGGTTCCCGGCCGGCCCGGCGCCCGGCTCCGCGGCGGCCCTCGGGGCGCGGCCGGCGGAGGTCCCGCTCCCCGGCGCGGCGCGGGCGGGGCGGCCCGGGACCCACGCGCGTCGTCGTCTCGGCCGCGCTTCGGGGAGCGCAACAGGCGGGTGGGAGTTTACTTTCAAAAACGCCGGACGGCGACGGCGACGCCGCCGCAGCCAGGGGCCCGCCCCGCCCGGGGTGCCCGCCCCGCCCGGGGTGCCCGCCCCGCCCGGGGTGCCCGCCCCGCCCGGGGTGCCCGCCCCGCCCCGTTCCCCCCTCCGTCCCCCGCCCCGCCCGGGGTGCCCGGCCCGCCCCGCCCGGGCTGCCCCGCCCCGCCCCGCCCGGGGTGCCCGCCCCGCCCCGTTCCCCCCTCCGTCCCCCGCCCCGCCCGGGGGCTGCCCCGCCCCGCCCCGCCCCGGGTGCCCGCCCCGCCCCGCCCCGCCCAGGGTGCCCGCCCCGCCCCGTCCCCCGCCCCGCCCCGCTCCGCCCCGCCACGCCCCGTCCGGGGCCCGACCGGCCTTCGCCCACAGAACCCCGGCCCCCACCTTCTTGCCCCGGGAAACTTGAGACAATTCTAACACGTGGGTGGAGGCTTCAGAGGGCGGACGGCGCCTGAGCCCGATGCCCGGAGCCCGATCCCGATGCCCGGAGCCCGAGCCCGATGCCCGGAGCCCCGAGCCGGATGACCGGGTGCTGGGCCCGCGAGGCGCGCGCCGAGACCTGAAGGCCCCTGCTCTTGGCAGGTTCTAAGACTCACGCGCGTGGCCGACAGACAGACCCGGGCCATGCCCGCGTACCCCGCCCACGCCGAGTACCCCACCCACACCGAGTACCACGCCCACGTACCCCGCCCCACGCGAGTATCCCGCCCCATCCCCGTGTACCTCATCCCACGCTGTGTACTCTACCCGTGTACCCCGCCCCACACCCGTGTCGCCCCCACGCCGTGTCACCCCCACCCCGTGTCGCCCTGCCCTCCCCATCCTGTGTCACCTCACCCCCAGGCCGTGTCCAGGCCAAGTCATCAGCTGCTGCCCAGCGGCAGAGTCTGAGGGTCGTCATTAGCCACCGAACATAACCACTAATCACTGTTTCTAAAGCCGGCATGTTGTGGCTGTGGGAGCCAACCTTCCTACACGCCAGGCCCCTCCTGCCGGCTCAGGACACCCAGTGTGGTTCCCACGGGCGTCAGCTGTTTCTCTTTTCTTGGTGGTGGTACTGGATTTTGAACTCAGGGCCTTCTCCTTAGTGGGCACTTTTACCACTGAGCCATACCTCCAGCTCAGAGTTTGCCTCTGCCAGGCACAGTCTGCTTGTATAAGGTTAGCTGGGCACCCCTGTCCAGCTCAACTTGGAAGCTGGGTGGTAAGAACTGTCGTGTCTGGTTGGGCACCTGTGGCTCAGGCCTGTAATTCCACTTACGTAGGAGCCCGAGATTGGTTCAGAGCCAGCCCAGGCAGGAAAATCGGAGACTCCTATCTTCAATGAGCCACCCAAAAGCCTGATGTAGAGCAATGGCTCAAGAGGTAGAGCACCAGCCCTGAATGAATGAAAAAGCTAAAGAAGGGTGCCCAGGTCTTGAGTGTCAGCCCTAATAGTGGCACAGAACAAAACCCACTCGAAGAATAAGTTTTCAGTGTCCTAGGTATGGAGTGAGACAGTATGAAACCATGTAGGAAATGTAAGTCTTCTTCCCAAAAAGAAACCCCCCCCTCTCTCCCACCCCCATCTCTCTCTCCTTCTCCCTCCCTTTCTTCTCTCTTTGTGCTGGTATTGGAGCTTGAACTCCAGGATGACAGGCATGGGCCACAGTGCCTGGCTAAGTGCTTTGGGGACACAGCTTGTGAGCCACCCTGCCTTGTCACATAGGAGTTTCACTGTAGGAGATGGGGGTCCCCTTTTGGGTTGTCTAGGCTCCTTGGGCTCAATTTTTTTTTCTTCCAGTGCCCTAGTGCTTGTCAGTTCAAAACTGACCTTGTAAGAGTTCAAGCTGCAGTGTCCGTCCTATGTTCAGTTCCCTTTGTGGTTTGGAACAATCGACGCACGTTGCCTGCTCTCGTGCGGTGTAAATACACCATTCTGGTCATTGCCACATTGCTAGAAACTCTCCCCAGGGAAGAACCCAGGTTCTGAATCTCAGCTCTCAAAGTTCAAGCCCTGACCATAGCACTTAATGCTGTGTGGACCTTGGTTTCCTGAATTGCGCTGTGAAAATATTTGTGCCAAAATGCAAAAAGAAAAATGTTAGCTTCAAGATAGAATTAAAAACAAGCAGAGCAAACCTGTCCCAATTCTGTATGGTTATAAAAAAAAAAAAAAGTGAAGTTAGCCGAGTAATGCAGCTGGTATGTATATACCGAGCAGGGGCTGTGTCTGTCTACCCCCCCCCCCTCATTTTCTTCCTTCCCAGCCTGGCCCCTTAATTACTTAATGACTTTAGGCAGAGCTGTTGATGTTTTTATAGCTTCCTTTTCTTGAAGGCTAACGTGTGTGGACCACTGTCATTATCACAGCCTATCATTTCCGCCATGGTTTTCCAGTCACTGTTTGTCTTCTGTGTGGGACTCAGGTGTGTTTCGTGTGTGAGAACCTGGCCGCAGGGGGCTTGTGTCTGCCCCCGCACCTCCGCTGTGTTTTTCGTAAGGGTGATAAAGAGCTTTCTCCCTGGCACGTTGGCCTGGGCATTCCAGAATGTGAGACACTGCTCCCAGATAGAAGTGCCCTGTGCCTCTGCCCCCATCTGGCGCCATGACCGTTAGTGTGGTGTGGTTTGGGGCTTGAACTCTGGGCCTTGTGCTCTTGCTTGGACTTTTCTGCTCAAGGTTGGTGTTCTTCCTCTTGAGCCACAGTTCCACTTTCAGTTTTCTGGTGGCTCACTGGAGATGAGTCACATGGACTTTCCTACCTGTGCTGGCTTTAAACCGTCATCCTCAGATGTCAGCCTCCCAAGTAGCTAGGATGACAGGTGAGTAGCTAGGATGACAGGTGTGAGCTACCGTGGCTGGCTTGCAGCCTTCGTTTGGATGTTAAAAGGCGAGCTGGATTTCTGGGGAAGGAGCCAGAGCACGCAGGCTGCAGGGAGCTCTGCTGCCTGGCCTGAAGCTGGTTGTCTGCCAGGGGTAAAGCCAAGGAAAAGCAGCCAAGCCTGGAGCAGAAGGGAAGCAAGACTGGAAAGTGCTAGAAGCTCATTGAAAATGCTGATGAGAGTATTGGGAGACAGGAGGGTGGTGTGAGTCCTCCAGCCGTGTGGGGCTCAGCCCCCCCCCCCAACCCCAGACCTCAGCCCCAAGACCTCAGTCCTCAGCCCCCAAGGCCTCAGCTGGAGAGACAGAGGCTCCCCCCCCCCCCCCGTGCCTGTTGCATCTCGAGTATATTTTGAGCCCCTCCTTATAATGGGCTCCAAGGTTAAGTAGCGCTGCTGTAGTGACAGCTGCGAGAGCAGGACCTGTGGCCCAGACTCGCGTGCCGTGCCCTGCCTAGACGGCGGGCTGAGCTGGCAGGCAGGCCTGCGCTGTCGGCCGCTGCTTTCCAGGCTTTTCTCTCCGCCAGGAACAAGAATGGCCCACTTTGCTGTGGGCGTGGGTGACGGGGGCTTGAACTCCAGACCTTGTGCCATCCCTTGGCTTTTCCACTACTTGAGCTATGCCTCCATTTCCAGCTTTTTGTGAGTTAACTGGAAAAGAGCCTCACAGACTTTCCTACCCCAGCTGGCTTTGAACTCAATCCTCAGATCGCAGCCTCAGTCACAAGGATTACAGATGTGGGCACCTGCATTGACTTTCTGAGGGCCCGGTGGGCGTGTGCTGTCCCTGCCATCCTGACACTCAAATGGGGCTTCAAAGACGCTAAGCCCTTTGACCTCGGAGCCAGGAGGTGCATGGAGCGGGGGATGGAAGCCTGTGGCTCATGAATTTACCCCCAGTTTACTGGCAGTCACGCTGTGGCTCCAGAGACCAGTGGCTCATCCCAGGTGAAGACCGATGGGTGGGATCTGGCGCCCAGGCACCCCACATGCTCTCCTGGCAGAGACAGTTAAATAACAAGCGTGCCCCTTCCTCATGAAGGCGGTAACAGAATAGGCCAAGGGGTGGGGGGCGGCTGTGGTCACCTCACCTGCTGCTCTTCTCTTTGAAGACAGTTGCTGGGGCTGGCCTCCTGAGAGGGGCGGGGCTGACACCTGCAAGTCTTTTGTTTTCTCAGCTTCCTGGGGGCTTCAAGGAAAGACTGGAAAGTGGGGGCTGGGAAATAGAAACTTGTGATCTGTTTTCTACCACAATCACGGGATCCTCAGATCTCAGCCTCCAGAATAGCTGGGGTTGTAAACTGGAGCCCCGTGCCCGGCTTCAGTGTCTTTTTATTGCAAAGCATCGTCTCAGCAAAGTGTGAGAAAGGACCCGGCATCTGGGCTGCCGGTGCTCGCTCTGCCCATTCCTCCTGCTCTCCCTGCTGCCTGTATCTGTGCCTGAGTCCTGCTTTCAACCTTCTGAATCCATGAAAATCTCTTTTCCTTACACCATCATTTTATATAAGTAGTTGATTTCTTGAGGTGTGTTTTCCTTATCTCTTCCTTGGTGGAGGGGGTAGGAATTTATATTATTTCCATGTTTTTGTTATTATAGGCAATGAGGCAACACTTCTGTTAGGTTTTTAAAAAGAGATAGCCGAGTAAGAACGCAGCACGCACGTGGTATTCAGGTAAGGGGTAGGTTTATTCAGTAGACCTGCTGGGACCAGGCAAGGTTGGCACCACACGGCTGGCAAAAGGCCTGGGAAAGAGAGAGAGCTGGGAAAGAGAGAGGAAAAAGCTAGAAAAGAGCAGAGAGAGAGAGCTAGAAAAGAGAAGGGAGCTGGGAAAGAGAAGAGAAGGAAAGAGCTGAGAAAGAGCTAGAAAATTGTAGAGAGAGACCAGAGAAAGAACAGAGAGAGAGCAGAGAAAGAGCAGAGAGAGCTAGAAAAGAGCAGAGAGCAGAGCGAGCAGAGAGAGAGCTAGAAAAAAGAGAAGGGAGCTGGGAAGAGAAGAGAAGGAAAAGCTAAGAGCTAGAAAAGAACAGAGAGAGAGGTAGAAAAGAACAGAGAGAGAGGTAGAAAAGAACAGAGAGAGGGATCTGGGCCTGGGCTAGGCCTTATGTAGGGTATGGGCAGAGAAAGGTGTGGCCACATCAAATTCAGATGTGACCTCAGCGGATGCAGATGTGACCTCTTCCAGGTGTCCCAGTTGCCTAGGTAACGCAGGTACTGGTTGAAGATTTTGCTGCGAGGAGGGTGGAGTCTGCTCGTCATCCAGGAGCGGACCTTACAACTTCTTTTTTTTTTTTTTCTTGAAGTTCTCAAACGGTTAGTTCCTGGGAGTTTGGACTCTGGAATTAACAAGACTAAGAACTTTTGAATTGACTTTTGGGCAGGCTCACCACATCCCTTACACCTTACACATGGTTTCTCTGGGAGCTGTGCCTGGAGGGCCGATGCCAGTCTGCCCCACTGCCTCCCCCGCATTCCTGCTGTTGAGATGGGGTTTGGTGCTCAGCCCCCATCCAGTTTGCCAGATGCCCAGCATGGCCTTGAGTTAGCATGGAGTGGTGGGCAGCTCCTTTGTGACCCCTCAGCGTGTGAGGACTTGAGGCTGACCTCTCGCCTTTCTCCCCCTTTCTTAGGGTTTGCTCCCACGCGGCTTCCCTGGCTCCCCAAGGCCTCTGACACTTGTGGGGGCCATAGGTCACTACCTGAGGAAGACGCACCTGGCCCTCCGTTGCTATGGATACGGAGTCCACCTACTCTGGGTACTCCTACTACTCCAGCCACTCCAAAAAGTCTCACCGACAGGGGTACGTACGCAGAGAGGGGTGCAAGTCTCTGGGGGACTGTGGGTTGGCTGCTTGAAAGGCCGAGCCCTGATGTCCTGCACGAGGAGGAGGTGCGGCGGTGCAGCTGAAGCTTTGAGAGCAAGTACACCCCATTTCCATTTCATAGCTCCCAACGCCCTTGTTTCTCCCAGTTGCCTTTAAACGAGTCTCATGAGAGGTGGTCCTCATGTTCTAAGCAGTTCCCATACTCGTCCATGCCTCCCAGAGCTGCGCTAGGAAAGCCATTGCAAGTCAGAACCCCAGGAATGAAGCACTGCGTTTCATGGACTCACAGGCCCAGCAGGCATTGTCCCCCAACCCAGCCCGGACAAGCCTGGCTGGCCAGCCTGTCTTTTAGTGAGCAGGCCTGGTTTGGATAAGCTGACCTGGTTTGGACGTCTGCCCCCTCCTCCTTGTGGAACCCACCTGCAGAGTGACAGGAGATGGTGACACAGGTGGCGGAGGCCACGCCCCTCTCTGCAGGGTTTTGTTAAGAGGATTTCATGAGGTTCTAACCAGCATGAGGAGGCCACCAGACTCTGGCTCTGCTCCTGCTCATGATGGCCTTGCAGCCTCATGTTCAAAGATCCCCACTGCACTGGGCACAGTGGCTCACACCTGTAATCCCAGCTACTCAAGAGGCTGAGATCTGAGGATCGCAGTTTGAAGCCAGCTCAGAAAGATTTTTTTTTTTTTTGCCAGATCTGGAGCTTGAACTCAGGGCCTGAGCACTGTCCCTAATGCTTTTATTTTTTATTTTTATTTTTTTTGCTCAAGGACCACTTGAGCTACAGTGCACTTCCAGCCTTTTCTTTGTATGTGGTGCTGAGGAATCAAACCCGGGGCTTTGTGCATGCTAGGCAAGCACTCCCACTAGGCCACATTCCCAGTCCCAAATCCATGAGATTCTTATCTCTAGCCAGCAAAAAGCCAGTAATGGAGGTGTGGTTCAAGTGGTAAAGTGTTAGCTTTAAATGAAAAAGCTAAGAGACAGCACTGGGACAACACACAGGCCCTGAGTTCAAATCCCCCAGTCCTAGTGTGTGTGTGTCACACACACACACACACACACACACACACACACACAGAGCAGTGGGATGTGGTAATCACCTTCTACAGATAAGAAGCAGAGGCCTGTGGTCTCCTGCAGCTAAGGTAGAAGGTGGCCATGTCCGCTTTGGGGACTCCCTTTGGAAAGGAGTTGAGTGCCCGTGTGCCCAGAGCATTGAGGAGGGGCAGGGCTGCCCTGTGCAGCCCGCCTGCCCATGGGGTCCCAGGAGGAAGCCAGCCCCGCCAGCCCTGTCAGCAGAGAGGACAGGCAGCGGGTGGGAGGCAGAGAAGGGCAGGGAGGGCTAACGGGTGAGGCCAGCTCTCCCTAAATAGAAACAGATAACATAGAGCCAGGATAAATGGTCTCCCAGAAACCCTGACTGCTCAGGCCCAGGCTGGAAGTCCAGCTCTTGGGATCCATTCAGCGCCCGCTTGGGGGAAGCGAGGCCTCTGTGCAGTGAGGGCCGGGTGGTGTGTGGCGACTGACTCGGAGAACATCCATGGAAAGCTCCTCGCGCTGACACAGCTCCCCACCAAGGCACGCAGGCTGCCCTGACCATTTAGGCAGGGCTGTAAAACCACGAGCCTGCCTGTGTTTGTCACACCTGGTTCATTACCGGGGTTCACTTCCATGCTCTCAGACAGGTTGTCTTTTGGGGGATCCCTCGTAGAGGAACTTCGTGGCTTGAGCTGTCCCTTGAGGTTACAAGATCTCAAGCCACGGGAAGGGGCATGGCGGCCACACTAACTTAACAGCCCTGGAACCTGAAAGGCACTGGGTGGGTACTGGATGGTGTGTGTGTGTGTGTGTGTGTGTGTGTGTGTGTGTGTGTGTGTGTGTGTGTGTGTGTGTGTGTGTGCGCGTGTGCTTCCATGGCCGACACATTTCCCTCACTGTGCAGAAAGCTCCTGCATGCTGCAGTTCACCCTTTATCCCAAAGCACTGTGCATGGTAGTGCTTTGGGGGCCATGCAGACACCAGTGCTCTTAGGACCGAGCCTGTGTTGCACAGGGCAGGTGGGCAGGCCCCCGGGAAGGGTGCACTCAACCCTTCGCCACGTGCTGCTGTGGTGTGGGGTCTCGGGATCATTTCCCGGACCCCTGCATGGAGCTTAGGGGAGACGGGACTCCCAGTGTCCCCTGATAGGTGCTTGTGGGGACTCTCTCCACCTCAGTCTGCTCCTTGCGCCTGCAAGTCTAGCCAGGCACCAGAAGCACCCACTCAGGGGTTGTGGGTTCTGGGGTTACAAAAGCCTTCTCGGGTTGTCAGATGCAAGGTTGTGGTCTGCCTCCTTGAGGTGTCCTGCAGGACAGTTGTGGAACATCTGGGTGGTTGTGGGCCCTTCGGGAGCCTGGCTGGGTGGTGGGGCAGGCGGCTCCAACCGCCTCTGTCCTGGAGGCAACACTGGGAAAGGACTTTGACTTCCGGTGGAATGTATGCTGGTGCTGGGGAATGGCGGGGTGAGTGGGCAGGACGGTGGCCTGGCTGTGGATCAGGACACCTGGGGGAAATGGAAATGAGCGAGGTAAGAGAGGGGCTGTCTGGCGGCCATGGGGCCTTCATCTGGACAATCAGGTCTAACTTGCCGTGAAGACGGAGCCAGCAGGAGGCTTGGCAGCCGAGCCTGTGGCCTGTGCTGGCTCTAGCAGTTCCACAGGTGCGAAGTGGGATAGGAAATGTACTCTGTAAAGTCTCTCGTGGGGGAGGGGTGGGTGGGAGCTGAGCATTTGCCCAACGTACTTAAGGCCCTGGGGTCCACCTAAACCCCCGAAGTCTTCAAAGAGACTGAGCAGATGCACCAGTGGCAACAGACTTGAATTCAGAGCCTCTCTTGCCACTTAGCACAGCTTGGGAAGTCACACAACCTCTGCGCCTCAGTTTCCTCATCTGGAAAGTGGGGACAATAAGACTGGCCTCCTATGGCCACTGTGAGGAACGAATGAAGCTAGTAAAACTCTCATATTAAGTACTGGTAAAGTGCTAAGTACTGATCAGGTACTGAATAATAGTACGGTACTTAGTACTTGGTAAGTGTACCAAAAATTGGGGAAAGGGAAGGTATGGTGGGCGTTGTAAGTCACAGTTCTGTCCAGTTGTAAGTCACAGCTCTGTTCAGTTGCTGGGTTAGAACAAACACCAGACTTGAGCAGAGCACATCTGTTTCTCAGCATGTGGAAGGGATTGCTGGTCACTGAGTGCCTCACGGCACCCAGGGGGGCCTTGGCTCTCCGGGGGACCATCCAGTGTCTGTCAGGGCTGGTGCCAGGCAGATACCTGCTCAGCAGCAGGTGGATGGGAGATACGTGTGGAAATCTGGGGTCCACAGTACTGATGGCTCTACTTATAGTGCGTATGCGTGCATGCTTGTGTAAGTGTGTGCACGTGCGAACATGCATGCTAGTACTGGAACTTGAACTCAGGGTCTGGATGCTCTTCTCTAGTATTTTCTGCTCAAAGTTGGTGTTCTACGACTTGAGCCACACCTCCACTTCTGGCCATTTGCTGGTCTCTTGGATTTGTCTGCCTAGGTAGCTCTGAGCCACACTCCTCAGATCTCAGCCTCCTGAGTAGCTAGGATGTGAGTCAGCAGGAGATATGACTGTTTATAAAGCATGGTGCCCTTTGTCTCTGTGGAGGCCCTGGGTTGAAGGAAGGCAGTGTGGTTGATGTCACGAAGCTAGCCTGGCCCGTGCAGGCTGGGGCCCAGGGAACTCAGGGCCTCTGGCCTCTGCTGCTTTCCTAGGGCTCAAGGGTTTGCCACTGGCTACTGGGGATTGGGGAGCTGGGTCTTCCCATAGGGTCCTCTTGTCTGGACTGTATATGAGCCCGCGTGGGCTGGGCCTCCAGGATGGGTGGCCCTTGTTTCCCACAGACCACCCAGAGAGTTCACCTGGAGTACAGATACACACACACTCCTCACACCCCTGTGTCATTTGTCCCCGCTTGCTTTGTTTCTGTGGGAGCCTCCAAGTTCAGCCAGGACCTAGAGGAATGGCTTTTCATTTTGAACTCTTGAGAATGAAAATGATTCTCCCTCCTGGTTTAGAATTTCCTTTTTCTTTTCTTGTCCAAAAGTGTAGGGTGACAGAGTGTCCCAGATTTTTTTTTTTTTTGGCTAGACCAAAGGACATATTATGCAGTGTTGACCCAATAAAAAAAATTCAGTAGAAAATTAATTTAGGTGAGCTAGTGATATACCCTAGATATAGAAAGTCTAAAGTTTCCATTTTAAACTCAGAAAAAAAAACGTGATCTCTCCTGTAGAGGAGGAGGAGGAAGGACAGGTCGGGGAAAGTGGAAAGAAAGTGCTAATGAGAGAATGAAGACAGCCGGCTGCAGGGTTGGAGATGAATAGCCCTGCTGTGTGCAGAGGTTTCCCAGATTCCAAACAAAAATTAGCAATACTTTTTGGTAAACCAGAGAATTCATTAACGTAGCATAATATGACAGACATTGTTTTCTTTCAGAGAAAGAACTAGAGAGAGACACAAATCACACAGAAATAAAGATGGTAGAGGGTCGGAAAAATCCGTCACCATTCAAGCGCCGCCTGGAGAGTCCCTGTTGGCAAACGACTCTACGCAGACCGAGGAAGTGCAGGTGAGGACGGAGATGGACTGTGGGCACACCACCAGGGGCAGGCATCCGCTCTGCTGATGGTTTCCTCCATCTTGTCGTGATAGGCTTTCTTGGGTTTTTAAGCTTTATGTTCCTGGCACGTCAGTTAGCGTATCTGTGCCCCTGTGGTTGCTCATGGGTCTAAGGACAGCCTGGGTGTCATCTGGGAGCTTCGGCTCCTTGGAAGTAGGATTGCTTTGAGTCATTTGAAAGCAGAGCAAGGAAGGGAAAGTTGCAACCTGGTGACTGGTCCCTGGTCTCTGGAGACCCAATCCTAAAAGGACACTCTTAAAGAAGAAGGAGAGAAACTCCCTTTCCAGAAGGCGTGGGGAGTATCAGGAAGGAGAGAGAAGTTAGCCCGGCATGGTGGCTCACATCTGTAATCTAAGTTACTCAGGAAACTGAGATATGGGGATAGAGGTTCCGGGCCATCTCCAGCAGGAAAGTCTGTGACACTCTTATCTCTAGTTAACCAGCAAGAAGCTGAAAGTGGGGCTTAGCTCAAGTGGTAAAGTACTAGTCTTGAGCAAAAAAGTTAAAAGACAGCACCCAGGCCCTGAGTTCAAACCCCAGTACTGGCACCAAAAAAGAAAAATTGGGTGGTAGAATTTTAGGTATAATGACCCAATTTGAAAATGTTGGCAGTTTTGTTTTTTTTTTTTTTTAAATATTACGCAAGTTCTTCTCCGGGTCCCAATTGTCTGGCAGCTCCCTCGATTTAAATAAACATCTGTGCTGTACTGAGAGGCATGTTTACATATCCTAGCATTCTCCTGAACCGCACACATGCCCAGCCTTGCCCCCAGAACAAAGCGTGCCTGTGCAGCGTGAACATACAGGGAGACAGATAAGCCACTATCAGTGTGTTACAGCACACAGGTGGGCACAGACCACAAAGGCAGACAGAACACAGTGCCTCAGAGCACTAGAGTGCTCTGTTTTACTGTTTGCTTTAGCTCTAGAAGAGTGGGTGGGTGGGTGGATGGATAATGGGTAGATAGATGGATTGATTGACGGATGGATGGATGGAGGAAGGACAGATTGATAATGGAGGGAGGATAGATGGAGGATGGATAGATGAATGGATGATGATGGAGGATAGATTGATGGATGAGGGTAGATGAATGGATGGAGGATGGATGGATGGATGGATGGATGACAGATAGATGGATGGATGGAGAATGGATGAAGGATGGATGGATGGATGAGGGATGGATGGATGGAGGATTGAGGATGAATGGATAGATGATGGAGGATGGATGAGGGGTAGAAGGATAGATGGAGGATGGATGGATGGGTGAGGGATAGATGGAGAATGGATGGATGGATGAGGGATGGATGGATGGAGGATTGAGGATGAATGGATAGATGATGGAGGATGGATGAGGGGTAGAAGGATAGATGGAGGATGGATGGATGGGTGAGGGATAGATGGAGAATGGATGGATGGATGAGGAATGGATGGGGGATGGATAGATGGATAGATGATGGAGGAAGAACAAGTGGATGATGGAGGGAGGATAGATGGAGGATGGATGGATAGATGGATGAGGGGTGGATGGATGGATGGATGGATGAGGGATAGATGGAGGATGGATGGATGGATGGATGAGGGATAGATGGAGGATGGATGGATGGATGGATGGATGAGGGATAGATGGAGGATGGATGGATGGATGGATGAGGGATAGATGGAGGATGGATGGATGGATGGATGAGGTATTTGGGTGGATGGAGGATGGATGGATGAGAGGTAGATGGATGGGTGAGGGGTAGATGGATGGATGGATGAGGGGGTAGAAGGATAGATGGAGGATGGATGGATGAGAGATGGATGGATGGAGGATGGATAGATAGATGAGGGGTAGATGGATGGATAGGTGAGGGATAGATGGATGGATGGAGAGGGAGGGAGGGAGGGAGGGATGGATGGAGGATGGATGGATAGATGAGGGGTAGATGGATGGATGGAGAGGGAGGGAGGGAGGGATGGATGGAGGATGGATGGATAGATGAGGGATAGATGGATGGATGGATGGTTGAGGGATGGAGGATGGATGGATGGATGAGGGATGGAGGATAGATGGATGGATTGATGGAGGATGGATGGATGGATGGATGGATGAGGGATGGATGGATGATCCAGGAAGGACAAATGGATGATGGAGGGAGGATAGATGGAGGGTTGATGATGGAGGATGGATGGATGGATGGATGAGGGGTAGATGGATGGATGGATGGATGGATGAGAGGTAGATGGATGGATGGAGGAAGGAGGACAGATGGGTGGATGATGGAGGAAGGATAGATGGAGGACAGAGGGGTCAGTCATGGGATGGACTAACCCTTCAGTGCCTCAGATCCCTCATAAACAGGTCAGGGGTGCTGGTGACTCTCCAGGAAAGCATCTCTTGCTACATTGGGTTCTCACCGAAGGGGTATCAAGAGGTCTATGTTCTGGTAGCTGTGTTACACAGGGCAGGCATAGCCTTTGGAGACTTCCAGTTTCTTCACTGAAAGTCTAAGGACTGGGCTGGGAAGGTGGCTCAGTGGTAGAGTGGTTCCTAGCATGTGTGAAGCCCTGAGTTTCATTCCTCAACACCACATACACAGAAAAAGCCAGAAGTGGTGCTGTGGTTCAAGTGGTTGAACACTAGCCTTGAGCCAAAGAAGCCCAAGGATAGCACCCAAGACCCAAGTTCAAGCTCCAGGACTGGCAAAAAAGGAGAAAAAAGGAAGTCTAAGGACTGGATTAGAGCTCAGATCCTTTTTATGCTGAAGGAGCTTGAGCTTTCTACACATACTTTTTTTTTTTAAACAAGAGGTATGTATAATTTCTTCAAATGGACAACGGATTTAGTGAGCAACTCTTTGGCAGGAAACAGAATGATGGAACCAGGCATGGGAGACTGACCCTGTAACACTAGCTACTTAGGAGGCTGAGATCTGAGGATCTCAATAAGAAGCCAGCCTGAGCAGGAAAGTCCATGAGCCTCTTAACTACATTTTTTGCCTTGAGCAAAAAAGCCAAGTGAGATGGAGAGACCCAGAGTTAAAGCCCCGGTACTGGTGGGGGGGGGGGGGGGGGGGGAGAGCAACAAACAGCGCTGTGGTAAGCACAGACCGTGAGAGCCTGTGAGTCACTCTAGCGTTGACTATCTCCTGACTAGCAGGCTGGGCACCAACAGAGTCTCTAGGAAGCCTGTTACAAGTAAATTATTATTATTTTTTGTCATTTGTAACCTCACCTTACATTAACAAGTTGTGCATCATTGAATTTGCAGCTCTTGCTAATGTACTGATGTGGGGTTTTTTCCCTTCTTTTAAAAAATGACCTAAATCTACAAGAAATACAACAGATCTTAAGTATACATGTTAGGAGGTTTTTTTTGGAGTTTTTTGGTTGGTCTGGGGCTGGGCACTGTCCCTCAGCTCTTCAGCTCAAGGCAAATGCTCTACCACTTGAGCCACAGCGTCACTTCCTGTTTTCTGCTGGTTTATTGGAGATAAGAATCTCACGGACTTTCCTGCCCGAGCTGGCTTTGAACCGTGATTCTCAGATCTCAGCCTCCTGAGTAGCTAGGATGACAGGCATGAGCCACTGGCGCCTGGAGTTTTAACGGATGAACACACCATGTAACCTAAACTCCAGAAAGTTCTCGGGGTCTTCCTGCTCATTCCATCGCTCCTCTGCACTGCTACAGGGCACTTGGCATGCTGCCTTTTCTGCCTCTGTGTCAGAACTCGCCATAACTAGAATCCTGTGATTTCTTTTTCCCCATTCAGCAGGACTTTGGCCTTTATCTGTGTTCCTGTGTGTTTCAGGAGTTCATTTTTTAACATTTTTGCTGAGGGATGTTGAAGGGAATTTACCCCAGTTTGGTTCCCATCATGGTGGTGGCTGGCTTGCCTTTTCCCATGTTGGTAGCTGTGAGTGAAATGGTTCTAGAAGCTCTGGGACCAATGTTACGTGTACATGTGCTTTCATTAGTTTGGGGCAAAACCTGGGAGCTGAATTTCTCGGCCATCAGTGCATATTTAAATTTCTGTGAAACTGTCAGGAGAGTTTTTCAGAGATTGTGTTTCCTCATAGATGTCACCTAGCCATGTCTGAGAGCTCTGGTGGCTGATGCCTGCTGTCTGTGGTGTGTGTGTGTGTGTGTGTGTGTGTGTGTGTGTGTGTGTGTGTACGTGTGTGCACGCGTGTGCACGTACACATGTGCCAATCCTGGTGCTTGAACTAAAGGCCTTGAACTCTCAATTGGCTTTTTTACTCAAAGCTGATGCTTTACCACTTCAGCCATGCCTCCACTCCTGAATTTTTGGTGGTTGATTGGAGATAAGATCTTACAAGATCTCAGCCTCCTGAGTAGCTAGGATTACAGCTATGGCGTGAGCCATTGGCACCTGGCTATCTCAAGTAATTTCTCTTATGGTATGTGATACTTTTTTTTCTTTTTCTTTTGGGTCCAGTCGTGGGGCCTGAACTTGGCCTGGGCAGTCTCCCTCAGCTCTTCAGCTCAAGGCAAGCACTCTACCACTTGAGCCACAGTGCCACTTCTGGCTTTTTTTTTCTGCTTATGTGGTGCTGAGGAATCGAACCCAGGGCCTCATGCATGCAAGGCAAGCACTCTACCACTGAGCCACCTTCCCAGCCCCTGTGATACTTTTCAAGACGAAGGTCTGGGTATTTATCTGCTGAGAACTTTTCCACATGTTGTCCCTTTACTACAGCCTACATTTTCATAGATAATGTGGGTAAAATTACCAGATTTGAGGTTTTTCAGTTATGAGAGACCTGTCTTGCTGACTTGGCTGTGGAACTTGATTTTCCATAGTTGATGGCCTTTTCCCCAGTCGGCAGCCGCCTCTGACTCTTTTCTTCTAAGTTCACTCTGATACACAAATCCCTGGGGTCCAAACTCTCTTTGGGCTCATGTGAGTTTGCAGTGCCTCCGCGCTTTGTTGTGCTGAGAGTCCCCATTCACATGGAAACAGCAAAACTGTTTGAAGTCTTAGCAGCTGAACCTTGTTTAATGAATGCCCTCATTGTTCCAACTACTCAAAAGTTGAAAAAAAGAGATGCCAGGCATCATTGGTGCTCATGCTTATAATCCCAACCACTCAGGAGGCTGAGATCCGAGGATCAGTGTTAGAAGCCAGCCTGGGCAGCAGAGTCCGTGAGACTCTTATATACAGTTGATCAAAAGCAGCTGGAAGTAGAGGCGTGGCTCAAAGTGGTAGAACGCTGAACTTGAGTTACAAAGCTCAGAGACAGCATCCAGGCCCTGAGTTCAAGCCCTAGTACCGGCACCAAAAAGAAAAGAGCAAGAGAATAAAACCGCATTATTTCCATACCCTTGGTGTTTAGTTTGTCTTGAAAGCATAGGTTTGGAAAGAAATTTTGAGCTGTTCTGAGGGATAGATTCCAGCATCTGCTCTGCTCGCTGAGTGGGCAATCCCACGGAGCGGAGCTGCTTATGAGGGGGGTGTCGAAGGCGGCGTGGAGGGTTGGACCTGGCGCTCGTGGGCGAGCGTGGACGTGGACAGGAACCCAAGTTCTTTCCCCCCTCTCCGCTCTGCCTGGCAGTGTCCTCCACGTCCACAGCTTGGAGCTGTCCCACTATACACCTGGGAGGGTCGCTCCGAGGTGGGGGGTGCGAGGGGGCGGTACTACAGGCGGGCTCTCCTGAGCTCATCCAGCAGTGGGGTTGTTTGCCACAGGGGGTGATGGTCAGTGAGACGCGAAGGCTGAGTGTTGCCTTCGTGTTTGAAGAGGCAAAGATGGAATGCATCTTGGGATCCCAGCGAAAACCTCCTAGGTTCAGTCTTTCTAAAGACCAGGTGGCCTGCTCAGGGCCCTCCTCACCGTCCTCCCTCCCTGCAGGATGACAACTGGGGTGAGACCACCACGGCCATCACAGGTACCTCGGAACACAGCATCTCCCAGGAGGACATCGCCCGCATCGGCAAGGACCTGGAGGACAGCGTGGGGCTGGACTGCCGGCGCCACCTCAGCCTGGCCCTGGCCGCCCTTCTAGGCCTGCTGGTCTTCCTCACGCCTGTAGCCTTCCTTCTGCTGCCGCCCGCGCTGTGGAGGGCAGAGCTGGAGCCCTGCGGCCCCATCTGTGAGGGGCTCTTCATCTCCATGGCCTTCAAGCTCCTCATCCTGCTTGTGGGCACCTGGGCACTGTTCTTCCGCCGGCCACGAGCCACCGTGCCCCGGCTCTTCGTCTTCCGCGCCCTGCTCCTGGTCCTAGTCTTCCTGTGCGTGGTCTCCTACTGGCTGTTCTTTGGGGTCCGCATCCTGGACCCGCGTGACCGGAGCTACCAGGGCATTGTGCAGTACGCAGTCTCCCTGGTGGACACGCTGCTCTTCATCCACTACCTGGCCATTGTCCTGCTGGAGCTGCGGCAGCTGCAGCCCGCGTTCACTCTGCAGGTGCTCCGCTCCTCTGACGGCGAGGCGCGCTTCTACAGCCTGGGCCACCTGAGGTACGGGGCGTCCTCGGGCAGACGGGGTCAACCAGTGACCCCCGCACGGCCGACACCACGGCACGCGGGAGCCAGCACTGCTGCTGCTGGAGGAGTGTGTGTGCGGACATGTGTACATGTGGGTATGTGTGCATGTACATGTGTGCATGCGTGTGTGTGTGCATCCGCCCATCACAGCACTCTGAACAAGATCAGGCAGGTGCTGACACTCAGCCACGTTCAGGTTTGGCTGCACCAAACCCGTTGGCATCCCCCAGTAGTGATACAGAAATGATGTGCATGGCACCGGTGGCTCATGCCTGTAATCCTAGCTACTCAGGAGGCTGAGATCTGAGGATCGCATTTCCAGCCTAGGCAGGAAAGTCCGTGAGATACTTAGTTCCAGTGAACCACCAAAAACCCAGAAGTGGAGATGTGGCTCAAGTGGTAGAGTGCCAGCCTTGAGAGACGCTAAAGGACGGTGTCAAAGCCCTGAGTTTAAGTCTCAGCATTAGCACACACGTACTTCTGAAATGGAACTTACAGACCCAGACACCCCTCTAATCCTAGCTTCTCAGGACGTTGAGATCTGAGGACCAAGCCTGGGCAGAAAAGTCCATGAGACTCTGAATTCTAAATAGCTAGCAAAAAATACCAGAAATGGAGTTTTGGCTCAAGTGGTGGAGTGCCAGCCTTGAGTGAAAAAGCTCAGGGCTGGTGCCTAGGCCCTGAGTTGAAGCCCCAGTATTGGCACCACAAGAATAAAATAGAATAAACAGAAATGGAGCTGTTCATCAGGGCTAGTGCCCAGGGACCAGCCAGGCTGCAGGGCTGGGTTGGGTTTGGCACCTACCCCGGCACAGCACTGGCCCAGTTACCTGCTGGTCTTTGGGATAAATCTGGTTCAAACTCAGCAGTAGCTGGGCCAGAAATTGAACTTCTAAGCCCTTTTGTGACACATAGGCACTGGCGGGAAGGGAGGGCAGGGTGGCAGGGAGCACCAGAGCAGTGGGGCCCAGACCCTCTGCTCCTCTTGCTGTATGCAGGCCCTGCTGCAGAGTGCCTGTTGAGCCCGGGGGCTTGGGGTGGGGAGTTCTCTTGTTCCTGCATCAGAGGTGGTTTTATTGACCGCACTGAGCTATTTTTGAGTGAAGGAGAGCATGCCCTCTCTCTGGTCTTAGAGAAAACAAGGTTCTCAAGATAGCACTCATAAAAGGCCCTTGCTGGGCTGCCATTGAGTGCGGGGCTTATTTGAAAGCTTGCAGGAGTGTGAAAGGTCACTGCTGCGGGAGTGAGGCACGGTGAATACACGGAGGTGCACCCGCCCACAAGGGTCATTGGGGATTGCACGTGGCCAGTCTTCATGGACCCCACCTGGGTCAGAGCCCAGGGCCCGCTCAGGGCTCAGGGCAGGGCTTCTGAACGTCTGCAGGCCTGGCCTCTGCACGGCCAGCGGCTCTCCTCACACCCCACTGGGCCCCACTTTAATGGTTGTTTGCTAATTTTTCCACTGTCTCACCAAAGATTAGTGGTGTGGGTGAAGTGAGGAGGGTGGCAGGGAGGGGTCTCCATGTCACCCAGGCCCGGCATAAGCTCCAAACGCTGGAATTGCAGGTGTGTAACAACTCAGGGCCTGGGCACTGTCCCCGAGCCTCTGTGCTCAAGACTAGCGCTCTACCACTTGAGCCACAGCGTCATTTCCAGCTTTTTCTGTGTATATGGTACTGAGGAATCGAACCCGGGGTTTCATGCATGTTAGGCAAGCACTCTACCACTGAGCCATATAACAAAGCCCCACAGAGAAAACTTTAACTGAACAATCACATTGTCTTACTTGTTTTTGGTTGGTGGGTCTTTATTAGGACCTAGGCGCTGTCCCTGAGCTTTTTCACTCAAGGCTGGTGCTCTGCCACTTGGGCCACACCTCTACTTCTGGCCTTTTGGTGGTTCATTGAAGATACAAGTCTTATAGACTTTCCTGCTCAGGCTGGCTTTGAACCGTGATCCTCCAATCTCAGTCTCCTGAGTAGCTGGCATTATGGGCATGTGCCACCAGTGCCTAGCTACAGTCTTCCTGTGTGCCAGGCACCTTCTCAGGGCTGCAGTCGCTACAGTCCTGCGGGTGGTAAGGAGACTGAGGCCTCATGTGTGAAGTGCACTGTGAAGGCACACGCTATTTGCCGTTTGTAATTGTGGGAGCCAGGCTTTGAGCCTTGAGCCAAAGATTATTCCAGAACAATCTTAACCACCCACCATTGCCCTTGAGTAGAGGGTTCACCTTCACGTTGTTGCTGTGGGAACACATGCATGAGCTCGCCAGCATGGCTTGAGTGCTCACTGTGCTCCAGGCTCACATGCTCCCGGAGCTCACTGTCCTCCCAGCTCACTGTGCTCCCGGGACTCACCGAGCTCCCAGAGCTGACTGTGCTCCTGGCTGACCGTGCTCCTGGCTCACTGTGCTCCAGGCTAAACCATGCTCCCGGAACTCACCATGCTCCCAGATCACCGTGCTCCCGGAACTCACCATGCTCCCAGATCACCGTGCTCCCAGAGCTGACTGTGCTCCTGGCTCACCATGCTCCTGGCTCACTGTGCTCCAGGCTAAACCATGCTCCCGGAACTCACCATGCTCCCAGATCACCGTGCTCCCGGAACTCACCTTGCTCCTGGAACTCACCGTGCTCCCAGAGCTGACTGTGCTCCTGGCTCACCGTGCTCCTGGCTCACTGTGCTCCAGGCTAAACCATGCTCCTGGCTCACCGTGCTCCCAGATCACCGTGCTCCCGGAACTCACCTTGCTCCTGGCTCACTGTGCTCCAGGCTAAACATGCTCCTGGCTCACCATGCTCCCAGATCACCGTGCTCCCGGAACTCACCATGCTCCCAGATCACCGTGCTCCCGGAACTCACCTTGCTCCTGGAACTCACCGTGCTCCTGGAACTCACCGTGCTCCCAGAGCTGACTGTGCTCCTGGCTCACCATGCTCCCAGAGCTGACTGCGCTCCTGGCTCACCGTGCTCCTGGCTCACTGTGCTCCAGGCTAAACCATGCTCCCGGAACTCACCATGCTCCCAGATCACCGTGCTCCCGGAACTCACCTTGCTCCTGGAACTCACCGTGCTCCCAGAGCTGACTATGCTCCAGGCTCACCGTGCTCCCAGAGCTGACTGTGCTCCTGGCTCACCGTGCTCCTGGCTCACTGTGCTCCAGGCTAAACGTGCTCCTGGCTCACCATGCTCCCAGAGCTGACTGCGCTCCTGGAACTCACCGTGCTCCCAGAGCTGACTGCGCTCCTGGCTCACTGTGCTCCTGGCTCACTGTGCTCTAGGCTAAATGTGCTCCAGGCTCACCATGCTCCCGGAACTCACCATGCTCCCAGATCACCGTGCTCCCGGAACTCACCATGCTCCCGGAACTCACCATGCTCCCAGAGCTGACTGTGCTCCTGGCTAACCGTGCTCCCAGGGCTGACTGTGCTCCTGGCTAAACATGCTCCTGGCTCACCGTGCTCCCAGGGCTGACTGTGCTCCTGGCTCACCGTGCTCCCAAGGCTGACTGTGCTCCTGGCTCACCGTGCTCCCAGAGCTGACTGTGCTCCTGGCTGACCGTGCTCCTGGCTCACTGTGCTCCAGGCTAAACCATGCTCCCGGAACTCACCATGCTCCCAGATCACCGTGCTCCCGGAACTCACCTTGCTCCTGGAACTCACCGTGCTCCCAGATCACCGTGCTCCCAGGGCTGACTGTGCTCCTGGCTCACCGTGCTCCCAGAGCTGACTGTGCTCCTGGCTGACCGTGCTCCTGGCTCACTGTGCTCCAGGCTAAACCATGCTCCCGGAACTCACCATGCTCCCAGATCACCGTGCTCCCGGAACTCACCGTGCTCCCAGATCACCGTGCTCCCGGAACTCACCGTGCTCCCACAGCTGACTGTGCTCCTGGCTCACCATGCTCCTGGCTCACTGTGCTCCAGGCTAAACGTGCTCCTGGCTCACCATGCTCCCAGAGCCCACTGTTCTCCTGGCTCACTGTGTGCCAGCTGCTGTGGTGTGCAGTCATGCCCACTGGACTCTCCTCTCAGAGCCCCAGCAGGCAGAACAGACGCCGGGCGCTCAGCGCTGGCTGTTCACCCGGTGGCTCGGCCTGGTTCTTGGGATCATAGCAGTAGATTTCAGACCTTTTCTTCTTGTCCCCACAGCCAGTATCATAACATAACCTCCAGTCCCGTTTCTCTCCATTCTGGTGTGGGTTGGTATGGCTGAGAGGTTCCTCTGAAGGCCTTGCCTGTCCTCGTGTGGCCGTGTGTCGCAGGAGTTCTCTCTCTCTGCCCAGCATCTTAGTTGTTGCTACAATAGTTGAATGGCAGCTGGGAGTCACCAGCAGGGAGCAGGTGCCTGTGGCTGGGGGCTGGCCAGGCTGGCCTCCCGTGCACTTGCTTGTATGCTTGGTCACTGAGACTAAGCATAAGCACCAAAGGTAGCATTGCACATGGAGCTCTTGTGATGGGGCTGTGCTGGGACGGGAGATGCTGAGCGGTGATGATCTTCTACCTCAGGCCGGGAAACTGTGAGCTCAGTAAGCACCACTGGGCTCTGAGGGAGGCTCTGCCTCTCCAAGTCACCCCAGATTTGTGGCTAAAGTAAAGGAGGGAGGGCCCCAGGTCTGCACTGACGCTGTCTTCTGTGGGTCAGCCCAGGCCAGGCCCTGCCCCCGCCATTGGCTGGGATGCCGGCCAGTGTTTTAAAATGACCACTCGGGGTGCACGTTTATGGGAGCCGTGGTCTGGCATGTGCTTAGTTTTTAGAAGGAAGAGTGTCTCTGGCTTGAGAAGCTGCTTTCCAGTAAGGAGACTTGGCCAGGCCTACAAAAGGTGGAGGCACGCGCGGAGACGGAGGGGTGCCAGCTCCCTGTGTGAGATGCCCACAGCGGGCACGGAGCTGCCGTTGGTGGTTGGTGCTGTGGTGACTCTTCGAAGTGGCCTTGAGGAGAGCTCAGTGCCCAGACAAAGAGGCTGTGTGTGTGTGTGTGTGCAGCTGCCCCAGTGGCCACCCCGGGGGTGGCATCAGGAACGGGTGCACACCCCCAGCATCCCCAGGGTTGTGGCTTGCCCCAGAAGCCCGCCAGAGTGTGGAGGGGTGTGGTGCTTCTCCTTTTCCTCCAGGACTGTCCCCACTGTCCACTCTTGCCGCAGTGGGTGGGGTGCAGTGAGTCTGCGTGCCAGGGCATGGGAGGGGGCAGTGACCAGGAACCACGGCTCCACTCTAGTGCGCTCCTTGTCCAGCCAGGCCCTGGTCTCCACTCTTGGACCTCCAACCTGTCAGTGTGCTCCAGAGGCCTCCCAAGACCAGAAGTGCTGCTGCTGAAGAGGAGGAGGCCAGGAGAGGGAGGCCAGCTGGGTCCCGGCAGGCCTTCAGGCTCCTCATCTGAATCTGGCTAGACCTTCCAACCCCCCAGATGCTGGACACTGCCACATGTCTCCCTGTGGTTCGGCTCAGGGAGCTGACGCTGCAGGGGTGCCAATGGGCCCACGGGCAGGGACTCCAGCCGTCCAGGTGTGCACCGTGGCACCGCCGTGGTCGGTGTCGGGGAACGGGCCACCATGTCGGTGAGCTCCTGCAGCCTCCCGGTGCCCAGGTGGGCGCTTGCTCCGGCAGCCTTGTGTTGGTCACTTTGTTCCTGTCATCAGAAGAAGCAGATCTCACCAGAGACCCCCTCCCCGCGTGGACAGCGCGGGCTTCTCCGGGTGCCCTTGAGCGTGTGCTTTCTTGTTTCGTTGTGTCCGTTCCGAGGGCTGGAACTCAGGGCCTTGCGGTCGTCACAGCTTTTGCTGCTCAAGGCTGGGGCTCTACCACTTGAGCCACACCTCCAGTTCCACTTTTCTCCTGTTACTAAAGACAGTGCTTCCCAGGACTACATGTCATTGATGTAAACTATCCAGGGATAGTTGAGAGCGTGGAGCAGGACCCAGGGACCCAGCAGCTTGGCAGGGGACCCCGGTTGCCAAGGCATCCATCCGGTCCTCCTTGGAGCTCTGGAAATGGATCTGTGGGCCTCACACCTGCGGGCTTATCTTTCTTTCCTGGTGACACCCTACGCCTGTGCACAGCCCAGTACACAGGGCAGAGCCGCGCCCCCTCCCCCCTTGGGAATTCCCGCTCAAGCTGAGTTGCTCTTGGTACAAGGACACAGGCAATGTGGACATCTGTGTGTCCTGGTGGCCTTGGGAAGTGACTGCGAGACTCCATGCCAGCCTGGCCCGCCACACTGGTACCGATCCACTCTTCCGTGGGCGGGAGGGATGGCATGTGCCTGGCCTCCAGACCTAGGGCGCTGTCCCCCACCCCAGCACTGCCCTTCCAGAGTCCCTGAGGCCAGGCCCCCTCCCGCTCCTGTCCCTTCTTGTGCCCTTAAAGTTCCATCATGGTCATTGTTCAGTGTCTGTGTGGGACTGGGGTGAGCGAACCCAAGTCTAACTGCAGGACAGATGTTTAATTACAAGGCAGGAGATGTAAATGAGTTTAATTAAAAGGCGGAAGGTCAGGAGATGTAGGTGCTACTTTGTACGGGACAGCCTGGCTGTCTCAGTGGCACTGATTACACTTGCTCACTCTCTGGTCCCAGGGCTTGCACTCGGAACCTGGCCACTGTCTTTGAGCTTTTTCACTCAAGACTGGCACTTTACCACTTGAGCAACAGTTCCTTCAGGCTCTTTTTTGTTTTGGTGGTTCATTGGAGATAAGAGTCTCATAGACTTTGCTGCTCAGGCTGGTTTTGAACTGTGATCTTCAGATCTCAGCCTCTTGGGTAGCTAGAATTGTACTTGGACCAAGCACTTTGAAATAAGTGATCTTACTAATCTCGTGTTTCTTTTTAAGATGATAGGTTTTTATTAGAAAAGAAATGTAGCAGAGAGAGCACAAGGCATAGATATGAGCAGCTACCCCCGCTTCCACCTACCTTGTTACAAAGCAGGGCCTGGGCTTAAACCAGGAGAATCTCTGTCCTCCAGCATGGCTTTCTGCCCGTGGGTTTCCTCTCTCGTTTCCGGTAGGGTTGTGGCACGGAGGATTGGCAGTCCTGGCTTAGTTCTGCATTCCTTTGTCCTTACCACTTCCTCATTCTTTTGTTGCGCCCCCCCCTCCCAAATCAGGCAGGTTCCAGGATACCAGCATATCCTGCCCCAGGCTCTGCTGTTGCCCTACTATTAGTAGGGATCCTACCTGCCCCCCACCCCCTCTTGGAAGTAATGACTCCACCCTCAGGGAAAAGAGACATTGCCCTCTTGCTTGGGAGTTTTGCTCAAGGCTGGTGCTCTTCAACTTGAGCCATATCTCCACCTCTGGCATTTTGTTCTTTAACTGAAGATGACTGGCAGACTTTCCTGCCTGAGTGAGCTAGCTTTGAACTGTGATCCTCAGATCTCAGCCTCTGGAGAAGCTAGGATGACAGGGATTATAGGCTCTAGGTGTGAGCCACATTCTCACCCTGGAGACGTGTGTGTGTGTGTGTGTGTGTGTGTGTGTGTGTGTGTGTGTGTGCGCTCGCGCACGTGCATGCGCACATGCAACCTCAGAAGTCTCCTCCTCACCCCTCCCCCTCCCCCCCCCCCCCCCCGACTTCTGAATCTGCTGAGTCCATGCTTTAACTCTACCCTCTTTTCTCAGCATCCAGCGAGCAGCTCTGGTGGTTCTGGAAAATTACTACAAAGATTTCTCCATCTATAACCCGAACCTCTTAACAGCCTCCAAGTTCCGAACAGCCAAGCACATGGCCGGCCTGAAGGTCTACGACGTGGACGGTGCGTGGACGAGCAGACCTGGGGTCCTTTCCAAGCTCAGAGCTTTTTCTTTTTTTCCTTAAGGAGGGTTATTGGTTGACACTCTGCCTTTGTGGGGAATTTCTGATTGAAAACAATAACTAGCATAGTTTCTGACTCCTGCTGGGTTCACCTGCTATGAAAGCTCCTAGGAGCCAGGCTCTGGTGGCTCACACCTGTGGACCCTAAATTACTCAGGAGCCTGAGAACTGAGAACTGTGGTTCAAAACCAGTTACAGGCAGGCAAGTTCATGAAACTCATTTCCAATTAGCCACCAAAAATCTGGAAGTAGAAGTGTGGCTCAAGTGGTAGAGTGCCAGTTTTCAATAAGAAAGCCAAGGGATTACAAGGCCCTGAGTTCAAGCCCCAGTACCACCCCCCCCCACACACACACACATACACAAAAAGAAAAGGGCTACTTTTCAAAATGGGGAAAACACCTAAAGAATCTGAGAGCTATCCATGTCCATCAAGCCTAGAAATCTCAGTAGCTCTGGCATCTGGCATGCCATCTCCCAGTCCCAGCAAGAGGTGACAGGGTGGCAGGAGGCCGCGGGCACAGGCTTAGTTTCAAGATATCAGGTGGTAAAGATCGAGAAACAAGACACGGTGTCATGTCCTGCCGGGCTCCTTGGCTCAGCGCTAGAGCATTGGAGACTCAGCAGGATTGCGCTGTCCACTCACACGGGTAGGGTTGGTGACCATGTCCTCTGTGAGTTTTTTGAGTATTTTCTATATTAGACGTGACTCCTGAAGTGACCTGAAAGCCTAGCAGATTTCCACTGGTAAAACAAGTCACCCGATAGGCAGGTCCCCTACGGGGAAGCAGGGCATTCTGCCTGGCCTTCCTGGCACGTGGAGGTAGCCAGCAGTCAGGGATGAGATGCAAGTTTCATGTTCTATGTTTTTGAAATGGGAGCTGGGGCATACACCTGTAATCCTAGCTACTCAGGAGGCTGAGATCTGGAGATTGTGTTCAAGGTCAGCCTAGGCAGGAAAGTCCATGAAACTCATCTCCCAATTAGCCAGCAAAAAGCTGCAAAAAGGGCTGTGACTCAGGTGATAGAGCACCAGCCTTGAGCAGGAAAGCCAAGTGAGACGATGAGGCCATGAATTCAAGCCCCAGTACTGGCACAGAACAGTGAAATACATAAGTAGACCATTTTGCATGTCCTCAGGTACTGGTGTTTCTCTGTGAGTCGTAGCAGGTAACATCCAGCCCGCTTGCCCCAACCCTGGCTAGCAGGTCCCTCGACTTCCTCTTTCCTCTGTCTTGATCTCCATCCTGCACATTCTCATTGTTTCCTGAACTCTGAAGCCCAGCTGCCCCGATGGCCACACCGGAGGCTTGTGAAGCAGATGGTCAGTGACACTCCTGTCCCTGGGCCTCGTTCCTTGTCTTATGAGCTCTCCCGATGGGGTCTTTTCCCCACCCCTCCCCACATTGCTGGGGCTCAGGGAGGCCTGGCTGTGGGACGTGGGCTCCAGTGCTGGGCTCCTGCAAGGTGGCCCGAGGAGACCTGTGCGCTCCACGGCGTCGCAGCTGGACCTACAGACGCTGGCGCCGGTGTCTGTGCTATGTCTCTGGCATGGGCTCTAAAGCTGTCCCCTCTGCTCTCCTCCCCCACCAGGCCCGGCGAACAGCACCACAGGCCAGTCCCGTGCGATGATTGCTGCAGCCGCACGGCGCAGGGACTCCAGCCACAACCAGCTGTACTACGAAGAGGCAGAGCATGAGCGGCGGGTGAAGAAGCGGAGAGCCAGGCACGGGCCCCTTCCTTCCTTTCTTTTTTGTGCCCGTACTCTACTGTCTTGAGCCACAGCTCCATTTCTGGAATTTTGGTGGTTAAGTGGTGATAAGAATCTCATGCACTTTTCTGGCTGGGCTGGCTTTGAAATATAGTCCTCGATCTCAGCCTCCTGGGCAGTTGGGATTACAGGCGAGAGCCACCTGCACTGGTTCATCTTTCATCTTGTGCCTGCTCTTGCGTTCTTTCTCCCCCTCTGCCTTTGGTCAGTAGCCAGGACTGGGAGCAGCGTGGGCAGGTTGGTGGTAGAACAGGCCATAGCGGGAGGGCCAGCGGCCCTGTGCGGCCTGCAGGCCCGCTCTCAAACTGAGCCCTGCTGCAGGCCTCCCCTTCACGCGTGTCTCTCCCTCCAGGCTGGTGGTGGCCGTGGAAGAGGCCTTCCTCCACATCCAGCGTCTCCAAGCCGAGGAGCAGCAGAAGGCCCCGGGGGAGGTGATGGACCCAAGGGAGGCAGCACAGGCCATCTTCCCGTCCATGGCCCGAGCGCTGCAGAAGTACCTGCGCACTACGCGGCAGCAGCACTGCCACAGCATGGAGGGCATCCTGCAGCACCTGACCTTCTGCATCACCCACAGCATGACGCCCAAGGTGCGTGGGCCAGCCGCCCCTCCCTCCCTCTCCCCTCCCTCCCCCCCCCCCCAGCAGGCTCGCTCCCCAAGAGAAGCACTCAGGCACCTGTGCATATGCAATGAGATGTCTTGGGAATGAGACCCCGGTCTAAACGTGCAGTTCACTAGCTCTTTATACGGACTTCATCCACATAGCCTGGAGGTGGTTTTTGCACAATATTCCCAAGCCTTTTGTGCATGCAGTAGTTTGTTGCTGTGCACCTCAAAGATGAGACTGGGGGCATCGTGTTCATGCTCAAGAAAGTTTTGGGTTTGGGGGCATTTTTTAATTTGGGGATTTACGGGTGTGAAAGTGGCATGGGAGCAATAAAGTCACAGGCTGCCCTCAAAACACCGAAGGATTTTAGGTAGCGGTTCTTCCACATTTCATACGTGCAAATATCACCGCTGTGCGATTGTTTTTGAGTGGGCCTCTAAAGGCCTCTGCATTCCATCAGGAGAAGAATTCTACCTGGACCTAACTGTAGAATAATGATTAGAAGTCACACTAGTAGCTCAATTCTTCTCTGTGGACTAGAGCTTGAACTCAAGGCCCAGACCCTATCTTAGCATTTCTCTCAAAGTTGGAATTCTGCCACTACTTCTGTTTTTTTTTTTTTTTTTTTTGCTCGTTAACTGGAGATAAGAATCTCACGGGCTTCAGGGAACAGTGAGTTCAAATCCTGGCTTCATCACTGAATTGTCTAGTGTTGCGAACGAGTTATTGTACACTGGTTCTCTCTTTGTGAAGAGAGAAGAGTATTACTTAGTATGTAACATGTGCTAGGCAGTATGGCTTGGTGTTAGTATACAGTGCACACATGTAACAAGTGTACACACCTGTAATATTAGCTGGCTATTTACAATAGGGACTGTGTTTATCTGTCCTGCTGGCCACCTGGAGCTAATGGAGAAGCTGACCGGTGCCTGTTATTCCTCTCCTCCAGTTCTGGAGGTTCCACATCCAGAAGTCCAAGCACAGGTGGAAAATAGTCAGGGGTTGGGGGGAAGCCCATATAGGCTTACCCTGTCAGTGCTTGCTGAGCAATGCAGTATAAGGTGTCTGTGCGTAGTACTTGCCTTGCACTGGGTACAGAGGATAACCTAGACGTGGAATGCCCGCCTGTGCACACAGCGCCACCTGCTGGGCCCCAGGCACGCCCAGCCTCCGCACCAACCCAAGCCTGGCAGCCGCCCCAGGAGAGACATGCAAAGTGACCTTGGGAAGGTGGTGTGGAGTCAGGGTACTGCCTGGCTGTCTCCTGGCTTAGCCAGTCCAACGTAAAAATAACCATCACTCAAGCCAGGGGCTGGTTGCTCACTCCAGCTTCTCAGGAGGCAGATCTCTGTGGTTCAAGGTTTGAAGCCAACCAGGCAGTCAGGGAGAAGTTTATCTCTGATCAACCACTAGAAAGCTAGAGGTAGAGCTGTGGGTCAAGTGATGCAGTATCGGCCTTGGGCAGAAAAAGCTGACTCAAGCCCCAGGGCCAACACACACACACACACACACACACACACACACACACACACACACATGACTACAACACAATAAATAAGAAACCAGTGCTTGTGCAGACCTGCTGACCTCAGGGCGTGAGTGCTCTCAGGAAGCCGGCCCTCCACCCTCCTCCCCCAGCCCCACAAGCTACTTGCATGCAGGAAATGACCCGGCATGTGACCACTGGCAGTGAGGCATGCCCATGTGTACAGCACACGTGCATCTGGCTTTCCCTGAGTGCCCCCTGGTTGATGTAGCCGAGGGGTGTGCAAGTCCCCCCCACCCCCGCCCCACCATGACTGGGCTGTGCGCTCCGGTGCACTGGTGTGCTCTGGTGGGGACATCCTTCCAGCTCCCAGGCCAGTGGCAGGATCACAGGAGCAGGGGTCTCCTCCTAAGACCATCTCTCTGCTTCTAGGCGTTTCTAGAACGATACCTCAGCGCAGGCCCCACGCTGCAGTATGACAGGGACCGCTGGCTGGCGACACAGTGGAGGCTGGTCAGTGAAGAGGCGGTGACAAGCGGGCTGCGGAACGGGATGGTGTTTGTCCTGAAGTGCCTGGACTTCAGCCTGGTGGTGAGCGTGAAGGAAATGCCCTTTACCGTCCTCTCCGAGGAGTTCCTGGACCCCAAGGCCCACAAGTTTGTTCTTCGCTTGCAATCAGAGACGTCGGTCTAGAACTTCTGCACAGGTGGCTTTCTTTTAAAAAGAAGCAGCAGCAGAAGAGGATAAGCAGAGATGTGCCTGTGCTGAGGGTCTCGTGAGTTCTTGGTGACGGACTGGCAGTGACAGCAGCCCCTGTGTGCGCCCGCACTTTACTTGAAGGAGGAAGGGGTGGCACCGCCCCATCCACAGCCCCCCGTGGCGCTTGGGGCTTCTTTGTGGATGGAACTTTTCAAGAAGCTGTGCCCAGAGTTCCTGGGACAGCAACCAACCAAAGTGGAGCTGCTGCCGCCAGCCCGGAGCCCACCCCCATCGGCTCATCCCTGTGACAGCTGTCAGTCAAAGCAGAGCTGCTGCAGGGAGCCCCGCCCCCCAGCCACCCCCCTTACGCTCCCCCCCATCTCTGGGCTACTCCCCATGCTGTGAGGGGACTGGTCTTTATTTGGCTTCAGGATACCAGATACTGTGCCCGTGTGTGTGTGTGTGTGTGTGTGTGTGTGTGTGTGTGTCCCCGCACCTCCCTCGGGAGGGAGTGGTGAGCGGTTCAGAAGATGCCCACCTTGTCTTTGTTCTTTGTTGCCTTATATCCTCTGAGAAAGATCTGTCGGGTGGCGGCCATCCTGTGCGCACTTTGTTTTCTGTCTCTGCTCCTGGTCCTCTGCTGGCCAAGGCCCACAGCCCTTTCCCAGCCCTAGGATTGCTGGAGCTGGACCGGCCAGGCTGCCGTCCCCACCTTGCTTCACACCAGCCTGGGCTCCCACACTGAGGGTAAGGGGCAGGTACCCCTCGGAGCCTGGGGAAGCCAGTTCTAATCAGGCTCAAACCCAGCCCCACCGGGCAGCTCAGGCAGTGCCATCCACTCCTGCCCATCCCCGGCCCCTCAGCCTGTGTGGCCTCCGCTGTGTGCCCTGCCCTCAGGTATGTCATGTGGGGAGCGAGGAGGAGCTGACGGCCTGGTCCAGAACGTTCCGTCTCCCAACCCCTGATTCTGAAGGCAGCCAGTGTCAGGGTGGTAAGCAGAGGCACCTCCTCGCAGGGCCTGCTATGCCTTGTCCCAGGCTGTCTGGGACTCAGTTTACCTTCTTGAGTCTGCAGCAGGCCTTTACCTGCAGTTTCCTAAACATGCCCATGGGGTGGGGGGAAGGCAGGTACGCAGCCCACCCAGTGGGTAGGTTCCTAGGGTGTGTCATTGTCACTGTTTTAAATCAGAACTGGCCTGGGAGGTTGGTAACACACCTAGACCTGGAAGAGGCAACTTTATTCTTGAGTCTGAGTCTCTGTGCCAAGAGATAAATTAGAGGAGAAGAAGGGAAGCCCCGGGGGGGGGGGGGGGGCTAGGGCGGAGGTTTTCTGGTTCTGTTTGTATAAAAACAGACCCCCATCCCCCCCACTCACCCACCCCGCAGCCATGGTGCTTTCATTCGCAGTGTAGCCTCCAGTCCCTTCACACTGGAAGTTCCTTATGATGTCTTTCTCAGGAAATATTTTAAGAGAGGGTAGGGGGTTTGGGGTGAGTATGTGTGAGGTTTAGGTCGCAGGGGGACGGAGTCCCAGGGGAGCTGCTGTGGCTCCGTGAACCTGGAGGTATCAGGGGCCATAATGACCGGCTCCACCGTGGTGAAGCCCCGGGACCCCACAGAGCTGGGGTGGGGCTCACTCACTCTGGCAAATAAATCTAAAGCATTCCCTCTCCTTCCTTCCCTCCCTCTCCATTTCTCTCAGTACCTGTCTCTCCCTCCTCCCTCTCTGTCTCCCTGTCTTTCTCTGCCAACCCCCAGCTTTGCATAGCAGAATTATTTCCTAAGATCATTGTTTTGAGTATTGATTTTTTTAACACTAATTTTACAGTGAGTTCCCAGATGCGATCCAGGATCCTTGCAAAGCCTTTGCACTTTGAACCCTTAATAGGTTGGAGTTACGGGGCGGGGGGGGGGGGGGGGGGGGGGGGGGCAGGCAGGGAGGATGGATTTCAGGCCTCACAGACTGTGCTCACACTTGAACACAGAATAATTCCTGGTTCAGTTCTTGAACCCAGGAGCTTGTGCCCTAAAGGCTCATTGTATGTAAATTTCTTTAGAGGAGCTGGGATTTCATTTACCCAAAATCTTTATAGAGTTTTTTCTAGCTTTCAACCTAAGTTATAAAAATTCTAACATTAAATGAGAGCAAGGAACTCACTGAGGAGCGCGGCAGCGTTTGAACAAGTAGATAAATTTTGTGCAGAGTGTATGCTTTAAAATATATAGATATATATGAGAATGTTCTAATAGTCCATGAACTGAATGTTAAAGCCTGCCTTTCTGGAGAGTGAGGAGCAGTTTTAAGGTTCGGCGTTTCATCCATCCAGAGCTTCAAAGTGGAAAGTAGATCTCTAGGCCGGGCCTGGAGAACATGCCTGACCCCACCCTCCTCTCCCCTCTCCCAGCTCCCGGTTCCCTTTCTTCCTTTATGTCCCTCTGAAATTAATTAAGAGCATTAGGTGGCCCTGTGTGTGTGCTTTGGTCCAGAGCTTGAGGTCTCTCTCTCCCTCTCTCCCTCTCTCCTCTCTCTCTCTCTCCCTCTCTCCCTCTCTCCCTCTCTCCCTCTCTCCTCTCTCCTCTCTCCTCTCTCCTCTCTCCTCTCCTCTCTCTCTCTCTGCCTGTACTAAGGCTTGAACTCAGAGCCTGGGCCCTGAGCCCTGGAGTTCTACCACTTGAGCCATGGATGGCTCCACTTGGCTTTTTGTTGGTTAACTGGAGAGAAGAGTCTCATGGACTTACCTGCTGGCTGGCTTTGCACTTGGGTCCGGTTGCCCTGAGGCTTTTTTTTTTTAATGGGGAGACTGGTCTAGAGGCAGCCCACGGGGCCCCTCTGTATCTGTCCATGGGGTGGTTAATTCTGTCTGCCTCCGTGCACACAGAAGCCCAGCCCTAGCACTGGGGAAGGGGGAGGAGGAGGGGACACCAGCCCCCCCCCCCCCCCACACACAGCCTGTCGCTGAGCCCTGAGGCCCCAACCTCCAGGGAAGCTAGAGCTCTGGAGTCCTGCTGTGCCCCTCCCTGCCACTGGCTGGCGCTGTGGGGGAGGTGCTTGGTGTGTGCAGTGCGCCTGTGCCCAGGTAGACAGGGACACCGCGCTAGCTGGGCTGATGGTGGAAAGCCTCAGCTGGCCCTTGTGAGTGAGTGTGCATGTGGCTGAGTGGTGGACAGCTTTCCTAATGGCGTCCAGCCTTTGAAAGGCTAGTCGAAAACCACCTTTTTCTCTCTATATTATTCCTCCCCATGGGTAAGGGCTCTAGCACCATAGCCTCCACTGGAGGGACTCTTCCTGCTGCTGCAGCCATCGATTCTTTCTTGCTGTAGGACCTTATAACCTAAACCCAGCAAAACAGAGACAAAGGAAGGACAGAGAATTACCACCCAAAACTTCACCACCCTGTAAGCCTTATTGTAAATTTTTTAAAATGCAGTTTACTAAGAAAAAAAAAAAGATTGGTTACTTAAAGGAGCACAGAAATGTTACATATTTATTTTAAAAGGCCTATAGCACTGGCCCTGCTATTCCAAAGCAAACGTTAAGTATTTCTGGGTAGTGTTTGTTCTTTTTTTCCAGATTTTGTTACTTACAAAAACAAATCACTACTGTGAATTTACTACAATGTAACCTTGTCATATCCCATTATAAATAAAGTATGGATTTTTTTAAGGCCATAGTGTGGTGCTTGAATGGTAGTCTGTGCAGTGGTGAGTTAAGACAGGTCCAACCAAACCAGTTGAGATGCAAAGAAAATTTGATTTTGGACATTTTGGCAAAACACTATTTTGGGAACAGAAGAAGTGGAAGGGTGCTAACATTTTATTGGGTATTATATATTCTACATTCTACATAGCCTTGTAATCGACACATTCTTTGTTAGGTAAAGATTATTTCCATTTTACATCTAAGAAAAAAGGAAGATCAAGCTGGGTGCCAGTGGCTCACGTCTATAATCCCAGCTAATCAGGACTGGCTTCTGGCATAACAGATGTAAAATAAGACTTAAAAAAAATAATGTTCTTTATCCCAGTTCTGATACCGTTGTGCATTAGCATTAGCCATACTCTTCTGCCTGGCTTGGGTCCCGCAGTGAAGGTTCTTATTACGAATTAAAAGTTTTAAGAAATGTAAGCCAGACACCAAGTGGCTCACATCTGTATTCCCAGCTGCTCTGGAGTCTGAGATCTGAGGATCCTGGTTCAAAGCCAGCTGAGGTAGAAAAACCTGAGACTCCCAACCAACCAGCAAAAAGCCAGAAATGGAGCTGTGATTCAAATGGTAGAGCACCAGTCTTGAACAAAAAAAGCTAAGGGAGAATGTGAGGCCTGAATGCAAGCCTCAGTCCACACACACACACACAAAATGCGGTTACGTTGACCCTCCTTCAAAGTGTGTGATCCATCAACTGAGCAGGATAGACTATGATCGCATATGTAAACCACTGTGTACAATGTCGTGGTCAAATGATGGTTAAACACCAGCTTACAGGGCTAGAACCGGCCTGACGCAGGCATTCAACAAAGATTTGTCCCAGGCTGTGGAACAGACCTCTGTCATGAAGGATCACACTCTAGAACAGGAGCAGAGACTGTGTGGGAAATCCTCTTCCCCAAGAACCTGCTCTATGTGTGACTGGCCGGTGTGGGGTGCAGCCCAGCCCAGCCTGGCAAGGGCCTCTGGTTGGGGAAGGAGGAAATAAACACAGAGGCTCTGTGCTGTGCCCTGAACCTTGCAGGCACTAATTAAAGTTAGATGAGGTCACGGGTGTAGCCTCACCTGACAGGACAGGTGTCTTCATTAGAGGAAACCACAGTGCTTTTAGTCTTCCCTTCCCTTGTGTCTCTGTATCTCTATCTCTTTAGCTCTTTCTCTTCCTCTCTCCCTCCTCCACCTCCTCCTCCACCACCTGCCGTCTCTCCCTCTTCCTCTTTCTCTTTCCCTTTCTCCTCATTAAGAAAAGGCCACATCTGAACAAAATGAGACAGGAGCGCCTCATCAGGAGCCAACCCAGCTGGTAACGGTGGCCTCTCTGACTTCTAGCCTCCAGAGCTGCAAGAAAACAACTTTCTGTTGCTTCCAGCCACCCAGTCTATGGTATTCTGTTACGGCAGCCAGAGACGGCTTGGCTAGGAAGTGTCACCCAAAGACCTGGTCCCCAGCACCACGGTGCTGAGAGCCAGGGCCCCGAGAGCTGTCTCGTCACCAAGGCCTGGCTCCCCGAGCCCCACTCAGCTATGGCTGTGGGGGTAGGGCTGGAAGAGGTCATCAGAGGATGCCCTGGAAGAACTCGTGGGGACCCTGTTTCTCCTACTCCTCTCTCTTCTTCCTCCTCCTTCTCCTGTTTCTCCACTCCATCTCTCTTCCTCTCCCTCCTCTCCCCACTCCCTCCCCCAAGAGGAGAGCAGCCCCCTCAGCCACTTGCCCCCAGACCCCCTTAGCACAAGCCCAAAGCCAAGGAGCCGGGGCTGGAAGCTGTGGGAACACAAGCCGCCACACTTCCTCCCTGGTGGTGTTTACTCAAGTGTTTTGTCACAGAGGTGACAAACGCACGGCAGCCAGGACACTGCACCCGCTGCTATCAGGAGTGCCAGGGGTGATGGCTGCTCTGGCCCAGTGTGCATGAGCTAGCTCCATAATGAGCCAGCTCCATAATGAGCCTCTACTGTGTGATGGGCAAAGTCAGGAGAGCTGGAGACACAAAGACAAGTTGATTCCGGTCTCTGATGAAGCTGCTCTGAATGTGTACATGTGTTGTCATTTGACCGACAAGTACCCAGACTGCACATAGAACGCCACTGAAGCAGAGAGGGGACCCGGCACTCCAGGTCACTAAGCAACGGGCCAGGTAGTATCTCATGCAGCCAAACCCGGTCTCTGTGAAGAGGAGGGCAGGGAGTGGGTTGAGTGGAAAAACCACTGCAGGCTCCAAGGTGGTCTCAACACTTTATAAAATGAGTTTAATGACAGAGTTGGTAAGCAGCTTTTCCACCCCCTGAAAATAAACCACACATCAAGAAACCGCAGTATCTCATACGTGTTAACCAATGGAGAAAATCAATGATGATACTTAACACAGAAGCTATTAGGCAGCAGAAGGCACTTGGGGAGTTCCTCAGCGTCTCAGCACCTGGTTGGGAACAGAGCCCCAGCCGGCTCTGGATGCTGTGGGCCTTGCTAAATGAGAGCTAGCTGACCCAGGGTAAAGCAACCTTTAGCCCGAAACGGGACAGCTCACAAGTAGCCATGGAGAATGGCTCTTTGGAGGTCAGCTGAGTCCCTAGGGGCCCGCCATCAGGGTGGGGACACAAGAGACTTGTCAGCCAGCAAGGAGACTTGTCAGCCAGCAAGGAGACTTTTGTCAGCCAGCTAGGAGACTTGTCAGCCAGCAGACCAACCTCCCATCCCCGTCCTGCTGCGCCCAGACCTCTCCACAGCCATGCAAAGGCTTGGGACTGAGCCTCCTGTCCCAGCTCTTCTTACAAAGTCACTCCATGCTCCTGAGTCACGTGCTGGGGAGAGACAACAGGTGATCGTGAGGAGAGCCGATCTGGCTCCACCCAGCTTCACAGAGCAGGAACAGCCGCAGGTCGGTGGGGACAAGCAGCCTGGGTTCCTGCATTTAGAAAGGAGTTCTCCTGATGGGAAGGGAACAGGAAGGGTGCAGAAAAGGAGAGGAACTGCTGGGCGGGGCGGGGGCTGTGGTTGTGTTCTGATCAGGTCCTTTGGCTCTGAGCTACTCATCATCGTCATCCTCATCGCTGTCACTGTTACCCTCATCATCAGAATCATCGTTATCATCATTATCATCATCATCATCATCGTTGTCATCATCTTCATCGTCCTCGTCATCATCATCATCCTCGGTGTTGATCTTTCCAGAAAGCACATCCTCGATCCAGTCTTCTAGCTCCTCGGCGGTGGGTAGGTCATCGTCGTCCGGAATCTCCATCCACACGCTGTCGGCCTGCAGCCAGGGGAGGCAGGGTGGTGGGTGAATAAGTGAATGGATGGGTAATGAATGAATGGGTAAGTGAACAGGGGAGGAGCAAGTGCACAGAGGCTGGGCCCCACCCTAGGTTCCCGGCAGCAGCGCCAAGCAGGCTGCTGGGTCTTCTGCAGCTGTTGTAGCCAGGAGCCAGTGGCTTTTGCCTATAATCCCAGCTACTCAGGGCACTGAGATCTAGAGAATCAAGACTTGGAGCCAGCCTGGGGAAGGAAATTCCTGGAGATTCCATCTCCAAAATAACCAGCACAGCTGGGCATCAGGGGTTCACACCTGTAATCCTAGCTACTTGGGAGGCTGAGACCGAGGGATTGCAGTTCGAAGCCAGCACAGGCAGATGAATCTGTGGGAGCCTTGGCTCCAATTCACCATAAAAAAAAGCTGGAAGTGGAGCTTCCAAGTGGTTCAAGTGGTAGAGAGACAGCCTTGAATGGAAAAGCTAAGGAATGGCTCCCAGGCCCTGAGTTCAAGCACATAAACAATCATTCCTACTAATTCTCAAAGCAAATGAATGAATGCGTCACACAGCATCACATAGCTTAACACAGTGCCAAAGACGGACTGGCTCCTGTTCCCAGGAGACTGCTCCTGCACCACCATGGCGTGCGGCTGTGCTGCCGCCCGCTGAGCCCACTGGACTGTGAGGTTGCCTGGGACACCTGAATGAGGCCTGAGAACTATGTCCTCCCTGGGCCTCACCACCTTCCTTCAGCCGGTGCAGAGCTGGGACTGCCGGGAGAGCCCTCCAGGCCTGGATGCCGGGCTCTGTGCATGCGTGTGTGCATGCATGTGGTTGTGCGTGTGCCTGTGTTAGGGAGGGCAGGGTGTGGCCCACGCAAGGCACTCACGTCCGTCACGTTCACCACGCCAATCTGCGGCTTGGACAGGTCGATCTTGAAGGTCTTCTCCCAATACGCAGTGAGCTGCAGCAACAGAGTGTGGGGTTAGAGGGCCACATGCCATGCAGGCCTGACTCAGCCACATGTGGTCCACGGCCACCGGCCACAGCCCTGGTGCCAGCAAGGTCCGAGTCCACCCAGGCTGAAGCTTGGAAAGGACTGAAGACTTGGCCCTGCCCTCCAGTTCTAAGGACACCTCTCAGCTGCTATGCACCTGGGCGGGAACGTGGCACCCCCCCCCACACACACACCCTGGCCCTCCTCCCCCAGCTGTCATTCCTCACAAGTGAGGGAGAACCCAGAATCCATGCCCACCATGGCCTACAGAGAGAGGGCTGGACAGGGCAGACAGCTAAGGCCACGTCCAGCAGAGGGTGCTATCCCCGCCCTCCAGCTCATGGGGTACAAACTCCGTTCCTTCTTGCAAAAAAGAAGCATAAGCTGGCGCCTGTAACCCTAGCTACTCAGGACGCCGAGACCTGAGAATCGCTGTTTAAAACCAGCCCAGCCCAGGAAGGTGGTGAGCAAAACTACAGCCTCGAAGGTATGGCTCATGTGGTAGAGCGCCAGTCTTGCATGGAAAAGTTAAAGGAGAGAGCAAACAAAGGAGTTCAAGCCCCAGCACCGGTACAGGCACATATACAAAAGACAGGAATGTGTCAGGTGCCGGTGGCTCACGCCTGTAATCCTAGCTACTCAGGAGGCTGAGATCTGAGGATCACAGTTCAAAGCCAGCCAGGGCAGGAAAGTCCATGAAACTCTTATCTCCAATAAACCACTCAGAAAAACAAAAACAAAAAAACAGAAGTGGTGCTGTGGCTCAAGTGGTAGAGTGCTAGTCTTGAGCAAAAGAAGCTCAGGGACAGCGCTCAAGCCCCAGGCCCAGGGGAGAAAAAGAATTTGACAATAACACTTGTGGCCCTCTCTTTGACAAGAATACACACGGAGCAGCCAGGGCCAGCGTCTCCCAGGACTCAGGGTGGCGCCGGCTCTCTGGGCATGCCTTCCCCTCCTCCCCCACTCCCCTTGTCCGAAGTGCTCAGGGCCTCCTGCCCATCCAGCCCAGGGCAGTGACCACAGGGCCCTGGTCCGAGCCACTCACCAGTGGGAAGTCGTCCGGGTCAATCCAGAGGACGCTCAGGGCGGGGTTGTCCGTGTTGTCCCGGGCCACCTGTTTGAGGATCTCCAGGAACTCGTACCCATCTGGAGAAGGGCAAGGAGGGTCAAGTGGCTCGAGTGTGCGTGTTTCCTGAGGGGTTCTCAGGTACTCTGATGCCCAGCCCCCCTTACTAGCCTGCTCAGAAAAATATATCCCATGAGCACTGTGGGTCCCGAGCCCCTCGGATGCTACAGCAAGTCTCTACGGAGAAACAGAAAGATGCCTGGCACTGGTGGCTCACGCCTGTAATCCCAGCTGTTCAGGGGATGGCCGAGATCTGAGGATCCCAGCCTGCGCCAGTCTGAGCAGCTAAATCCAAAACTCTTATGTCCAATTAACAGCAAAAATCCAGAAACGGAGCTCAAGTGCTACAGAAGTGGCTCAAGTGGTAGAGCGCCAGCCCTGAGTGAAAAGCTCAGGGGCCCTGCGTTCAAGTTCTAGCACAGGAACAGAAAAAGGAAGGAAGGGAGGGAGGCAGAGAGGGAGGAGCTGGCGTCAAGAAACCTTGGAGGACAAGAAACATTCTTTGCCATGAACAAAAAAAATTTCAAGAATATTGTATGTGTATGTGCACACACATCAGTACTGGAGCTTCAACTCAAGGCCTGGGTGCTGTCCCTTAGATTTTCATTCAAGGTTGGTGTTCTACTACTTGAGCCACAGCTCTACTTTGGGTTTTTGGTGGTTAATGGGTGGCAAGAGTCTCATGGACTTTCCTGCTCAGAGTGGCTTTGAACTGACATCCTCAGATCTCAGCCTCCTGAGTCTGTGGGATTCCAGACATGAGCCACCGGTGCCTGGGACCAGTGCTCAACAGCGCCCTCTAATGCTCAGGACCACCTTCCCACCCCTCCCCACTCCTGCTAGAACACCAAGAGTTTAGGTCCTCTTAGGTCCCTGAGAATAACTGCTGCGTGTGTGTATGCCTGTGTACATATGAGGAACACACCCGTGTCTGCAGGTGGCTCTGATGATGTCCTGTGGGTAGGATGGAGAGCCACAGGGCACAGGGCACGGACCATTAGGCCTTATTTTTTGTTTTGTTTTGCTTTTTGTGCCAATGCTGGGGTTTGAACTTGGGGCCTAGGTGCCGTCTCTTAGCTTTTATGATCACGGTTGGCACTCTACTAGTTGAGCCACAGACTCTATGCACAGCTTTGTGGTGGTTAATGGGAGAGCCCCGGCTACACACAGACAAAAGCCAAGTCAGGACTTGGTTTCCCCAGCCCCAGAGCCCTGAGCAGTGAGGCCCGCCCTGCCCAGGGTTGGAAGCTGGCAACCTGCTGAGCTCCGCCCTCCTCCACCACCCCCATGGCTCTGCTCCCAGCCTCAGTCTCCAGCTCTGGCTCTCTGGGGCACAGCAGGAGCTGGGCCCAGGGGTATTTGTGCAGGGAGAGGGAGAGAGACGTTCCAGAGGCCTGATTCACGGCCACACCAACCTCCCCAAACAGGTTTCTGCGGCTTTGGGGAGGGAGGGGGGCCACATGCTCTATTGTTCCAGGGCCCCTCCTGTCCCGGACCCTGGGAGGCCCGCCAGCCACCAGGGCGGACTCCAGTCTCTGTTCACACAACTGGGGTCCACTGTGTGTGATCGCAGCCTGTAAGCCTCAGGCACGGGCCTCCAGGAGACTTTCTCCTCCATGGTAAAGAGGTGGGCAGAACCTAAAAAGCCGCAGGGGCCTTCCTTCTCTCTGAGTGTTGGTTGTGGAGAGGCCTAGCTCCCTGGGGGAGGAGGCCTGGCACCTGGATGGACATTCAAGGGATTGAATGAAGACAGAACATGGCGGAAACTCGGAGACAAGACAGGCCATGGAACATTATTCAGCCCTGAAAAGGAGCGAGCCTCTGATCCATGCTGTGTAATGGATAAACCATGACACGGAAGGGCATGCAGCGTGAGCTTGCGTGATTCCCACCTACACGAATGCCCCAATGGCTGTATCCACCGAGAGTGGAGGAGGGCATGTGCCGGAACTCCCCCGAGAAAAGCCCAGACATGCTGGATTTCGGTGGGTAAGTGGGTTGCCTCTCTCACCATCTACCCCTGGAGCATGCATGCTTCATGCCCCATGGGAATTCAGGGGACCTGTGTCCCCCCGGAGGCCAAGCTCCTGGGCGTTTCCTGGCCTCTGCCAGTGCTTGCTGTAGGAGAGACACAGAGGCCCTGACAAAGGCCATATCTGCCGCAGCCACAGCTAGCGGCACTGCACGGCCAGCCCGGAGGTCCCCCGAGTCCCCGTTCCTCCAGACCTGCCCAGCCAGACTCTGGGGGTGGGGGGGACTGCTAGCCTTTGGAGTTCCTGTCCCGATGCTCACAGCCAAGGCCCTGCTCCGTGGGGCACCACGCCTGTCTGGGGGCAAAGGCTGTCCCTCGTGACCGTGTGTCACCCCCGCATCGACAGCTCTGCTCTGCCTGGGCTAAAGAGAGAACCAGGAAGCCTGTGCAAGATGCAGAAGTAGAACGAAGCCCCTCGGCTGTGTCCCCAACACCCTTTCCACTTTGCACAACCAACTGCTTATATATACACACCAAAGGATGCAACTCTATGTGTGTGTGAGTGTGTGAGTGTGTGTGTGAGTGTGCCGGCACAGGGACTTGAACTCAGGACCTCCCCCTCCAAGCCAGGCTTTTTTTGTGTTCAAGGCTGGTGCTCTACCACTAGAGCCACAGCTCCAGTTCTTCAATTTGCGTTATCCTAAAGTAGGAGTTTGGCATATACATCCACGTGCTTGATCACAAAACTCGTAAGTGAACGTTTGCACAACCAGCAGATCATATCCACACACCCTGGGGGCCGGGTTGCTTTTGTGCCTTCCCAGACCACAGCTCAGCTCAGTGTTTGGGGCTACAGCACCTCCTTACCCTGTCTTCCCTTAGCTGTGAGCACAGACACCACGGGGGCAGGGGTGTGCACTGTAGAAGGAAGGGAGAGGGAAAGGGGAGAGCAGAGGAAGGTGAGTAGTTTGGTGTGTGTGTGTGTGTGTGTGTGTGTGTGTGTGTGTATGTGTGTGTGTGTGTGTGTAGTAGGGCTTGACCTCAGGATGGAACTCTACCACTTGAGCCACAGCTCCACCTCCAGCTTTTCGCTGGTTAATTGGACATAAGCATCTCATGGGCTTTGCTGCCTAGGCTGGCATTGAACCATGATCTTCAGATCTCAGCCTCGTGAGTAGCCAAGATCGCAGACATGAGCCCCGCCCAGGGTTCAGGAGCTCTTGTGAAAGGCTGGGTGGCCAGGTGCCTACCGGGGTCGCTCTTCTCCGCAAAGGCCACGATGTGGATCCCATTCAAGTTGTCTTCCTGTGGGAAATGAGAACGGAAATTTACCCTCGAGGAGCCAGCCCGGGCCAGAGATTCACAGGCCGGAAGGGCGGTGTGGAGAGGGACATACAGCACGACGGGGCAGGGACACACGAAGGCCGGACACACGGATGAGCAGGTGGACACGCTCAGATGGCGCCTGACCGTGGACGGACGGGACGGTAGACAGGACGGCAGACGGGACAGCGCGAACACACATGAGACATTAACGCTCAACGGGTCTCACTGCCGGGGTCTGCTGGTCCCAGGAGCCGCAGCAAAGGGAGAGAGAGGGAGAATGGGAGTCAGACTGGCCTCGCAGGAGCCCAGGGCAAAAAGCATTCTAGAAGTCTCTGCGTGCCCAGCCCTGGAGTTACAGCCAGCAGCACAGCAGCTCATGGAAGCTCCAATTTGCCCCTGACTGGCCCCAAACCTGTCCCCACGTGGAGATGGGGGCGTGGGCCATCTCCTCTGCCCCAGCGGCCTGGGGTGCCACATGGGGCCCCTGGCTCTTCCCTTCTCTCCAGTTCACCAAATCAGCAGATACGCCTGGCCAGGTGAGGTGGGGGGGGGGGGGCTGCCGAAGGTCTGCGGGGGGGGGGGGGGTGGGGGGGTGGTCCGCAGCCCGTGTGGAAGCCAGGGTGGAAGGAGAGAAAAACCAGAGGGACTTTCAACTCACGGTGCAAGCCAAGGGGTGCTTCCTGCTTCCCCTCTGCTCTGCCCCCTTTGCCGGGGTCCTTGCAGGGGAAGTGGAGCCTGTGCTTACTTAGGGAGACGGGGTGACTGACACCCTGTGGAGGGGGGGGCGGGGGCGGGGGGTGGAGGGGGCACCACCCCACTCCCACCGATTTGAATGCTCCTCCAGCAATCCTATCTAAATGCTAATTTTTTTTCCCCTTCTTTGAGTCTGGAATGGACGAAAAACTCTAAAAAAAAAAAAAACAAACCACAAAACCTGTCAGCGGAGATTAAACAGCAAACACGATTATTGAAAACGCGGGGCTTCCAGAACACATCTGGTAATCGGTTTTAAAATGAAGAATCCCTATTGGTTTTCTAAGGGGCTGCTTGTGCCAGGCCTGAGTGGCACTGGGTGAAAAGAGACAGGGGTGGGGGGCGCCACACCCCCGCACCCCATGAGGAACCCACCCCACCGGCTCAGCATGCGAATCGGAACCCAACACCTGCGCAGACACCCAGCGCGGGCTTTTCAGTAGGCCAGCAGGGAGTCATGGTTACCTCAGGCACGAAGGGGGTGCACCCCTCGATGGAGCCAGCCATGCCAGCCAGGGTTAGCCCGGGAGCCTGCATGACACTCGTCATGCATGAGACTTTGGCTCACCCTGCCATGGCACCTCTTTGTGGAATCGCACAAACCATCCCTCATAACCAGACGGCAGGCTCTCTGAGAGGAGGAGTCGGTCAAATGGAAGTCATTCCTATTCGGAGCGCACAGAAGCCGAGTGGAAGGTGGGCCCTGGTGGTTCTCCCCTGTAATCCTAACAGCTCGGGAGGCTGAGATCGGAGGACAGCAGTTCAAAGAAAGGCTGATCTCATCTCCAATGAACCAACAAAAAAAAGCTGGAGTTGGTTTCGGTGGTAGAGCACCAGCTTTGGGTGAAAAAGCTAAGGGACGCTGGGAAGTCTAAAAGAAAGTTCTGGTATTTTGGTGTCTGATGAGGGCTTGCCTACAACCAGCTAATGGGATTTCTTGTTTTATTCTCTCTCCTTCCTTCCTTCCTTCCTTCTTTCCTCTCCCCTCCCTCCCACTCTCCCTTCCTCCCTTCCGTCTTCTCTCCCTTTCTTCCTTTTCTCCTTCCTTCCTCTCTTCTTTTCTTTTTCTTAAAAAAAAACACACACAAAAAAAACCAGAAAACAAGGTCTTACCACGTTGCCCCTGCTGGCATTTATATATATATATATATATATATATATATATATATATATACATATATATATATATATTTATTTATATTTATATATTTTTTTTTGTCGGCCATGGAGCCTGAACTCTGGGCCTGGGCCTTGTTCCTCAGCTCTTCAGCCCAAGGCTAACACTCTACCACTTGAGCCACAGTGCCACTTCCAGCTTTTTCTGCTTGTGTGGTGCTGAGGAATCGAACCCAGGGCCTCATGCATTCAAGGCAAGCACTGTACCACTAAGCCACCTTCCCAGCCCCCTGGCCTCCACTGTCCTGGGGTTGTGGGCGTGGCCGCCACGCCTGGCCAGCCCTGGCTCTTTTCCTAAGAGCACTGAACCCAGTTGGGAAGTCTCTGCCCTCGTGATCTAACCACTAATGGCCACCATGAGTGTGGGGTTCAAAGTAGGGATCTGGGGAGACGGAAGCATATGGCCACGGCGCCCACGTGCTCCATGGCTGGTTTGCCCTCTGCCAGGCTCACAGGAGACATGGTCAACGTGGATCTGCAGCTCTAAGTGATGGGGGGGGAGGGGCTGCCAATACAGCACACATAGACCAGACACACCCCTCCCCCGCCCCACGAGCAGGAGCTCCGCGATGGCCAGCATTTATCCCCTTCCATCTCGTCCCCCGACAGGCATTGCGTTTTGAGGTTTCCTCTTCTCAACCCTGAGCTCCTAAGGACAGACAGGCTCCCTTTGACCCCTCTACCCTTAGCGCAATGCGGTGAGCTTTTGTTAACATCTATTGATTCAAAAAAGAACAGGACCATCCCAATTTTACATGCTTATTGAAAACTGTGGAAAATATTATCCACACCTACCAACTAGGCCTATGCCCCGGCCAGTATTTTGCTCTGTTTCTTCCATCTCTATTGAATGTTTCCACACGAAAGGAGACACAAAGAAACAAAACATACCTTGGACTAGCAAGTTCCCTGCTAAGGTACAGCGCAGTGACCCACAGGCACCCCAGAGATTTGAACTCAGGGCCTCAAGCTTGCTGAGATTGCTTACTCATGGCTGGTGCTCTACCACTTGAACCATACCTCTATTCTGCTTTTCTGCTGCTGATTCTGGAGCAAACTTCCTGCCCTCGCTGTCCTCAAACCACCATCCTGCAGATCTCAGCCCCCTGAGTAGCTAGGATTACAGGTGCCCAGCTAACTCCTTTCATGCAATTATTTGCCCAGCCCTCAGAAATGAAGGTATGCCAATGAAGAAATGAAGTTACATGCCCAAGGAGAAATGAAGTCACATGACACTTTACATCAGTGCCTGGTTCTGTTCATCCACTACTTCAGACTGTAATTTAGAGAGTTACATAAACGTCCGAGACAACCCCTCCTCCCCACCCAGACCCCCGACGGCGGCCAGGGGGACATGGCCGCCCCAAGGAGCTGTGTGAAGAAGACATGACAGCTGGCTCCAGATGTCCCTAAGCCTCAAGAAGAAATGCCCATTAGTTTTGTATCCTTCAGTAGTTAGCCTCATCCACCCCATCTGTGAATGGGGAAAGAAATACTTGCTCTAGGTCACCTGCTGCTCTCGGCTGCTGTGGCTGAGGTCTGTCATTGGGGTGTTATGTCAGATGGAGGCAGGGATGTCTACAACCTAGGGCTAGTCTCCACGCCTCTCATTCTAATGGTATCTAAATTGCTTAACACAGTCCGAGACACAGACCTAGAGGACAGGAGGCCAGTGTCGAGAGCCTTCAGCTGATCACAGACAGATACATAGATAGACACATTCCATAGATTAGATTAGATAGACTGATTGATAGGTTAGATAGATTATGTAGATAAGAGAGATTAGATTAGACAGAAAGATTGTTGTGGACCAGTTAGGTAGATAGTAGAGATAATTCCATAGATAAAATAGGTTATATAGATTGATAGACAAACAGACTGAGGATAGATAGATAGACAGACAAATAATTAAAAGCTACCACTCACTACTGGAGCACCTGTTGGGGTTCTCAATTCTTCATCTCACATTGCCTTACAACCCCTGCCCCCATTTTCAATGGGGAGACCAAAAGTTTGAGATGGTCATATGACCTGCAAAGTGCAGGAAGTGGCTTGGTGGCAGATTCTGGACTTGAACCTAAGCGTCTGTGACTTAGTAGCCTGAGTGCTCCATCCCTGCCCGGGGCCCCTGGGCTCAAAGCCTGGGGTGCTGTGGCAGTGAAGGCGAGCAACATGGCCGGGTCGGGGTCAGGGGAGCCAGGTCTCCCCATCTTCCCCGGGGAGCCAAGCTCCCCGTTTCCAATGCTCCTCCCCACACCTCTGCCCCAGCCCAGAGACAGACAGTGTCCTGGGGCTTCTCTGGGGGTACACACACCCAGCCACGTCCTTACCCATGTTTCAAACATGTCTTCTGGGCGCAGGCGACGAAGAGTGGGTCTAGAAAAGAAAACGGAGAGCATCCTTGAGTGCAGAACTCACCGTGGCAGGCCGGGGGGCGCCACGCACGAAGGGCGAGCGAGCTCCAGCCCGGCTGCTGCAGGAAGAACGCAGAGCCGAGTGCGGGCTGCGCCCTGTCTCCGCACGAGGCCACAGACCCCGGGCTCATGGAGGTGGGCTCCTTCTCGTGGGCCTCCTCACCGACACGGCCTCTCCAAACCCCCACTCGGGCCCGGAATGAGAAGGAAGAGAGCACAGGATGCCCCGGCTGGCTCTGCCGCTGCTGCGTGGTCATGGGATCACCCGCCAGAAAAACAAAAGCCACAAACAACACCAACGCGGGAGGAAGGACAGCCAGGCGGGTGAGCCCACAAACATGTCCTGTGCCCCCCAGCATCCCTTCTTCGAGAGGCCAAGAACTGCGGGGGGGGGGGTGGGGGACGACTCTGCACCCCTTGCTTACCCATCATGCAAGAGGGCAGAGTGAAGGGGTGAAGACGATGAAGAGCTCACCCACAGAACCTGAAAGATGTGTCACCTGGCTCCTGCAGAGCAAGTCAGCTGACCTCTCTGGGAGCATGGCGGGATGTCCTCCTCTCCAGGAGTGTGGCTCTGGTTCTGTGGCCACTGCCCTGCTCTCACTCTTTGCTCCACAGAATGGGGCTAATAGCGAGTCCTCTGGGAGTCAGGGCTGAGAGAACGTAGCTCTCACAACCTCCCTGGCATGGTTCTTGATGCAGAAAAAGTATTCTCGCTAGGCTCTGGTGGCTCACGCCTGTCATCCTAGCTACCCAGGAGGCTGAGACCTGAGGATCCTAGTTGAAGGCCAGCTTGGGCCAAAGGGTCTATGAGACTTGTATCTCCAACAAACCGGCAAAAAGCTAAACATGGAGCTGTGACTCAAGGGGTAGAGTGCTAGCTTTGAGCAGAAAAGTCAAGGGAGAGCTTAAGGTCCTGAGTTCAAGCCCCAATACAAGTATGTGCAGGCACACACACACAACACACACACACACACAGAGGCTCTGAGGGGATTTGCTAAATCCAAGCCGGGGTTTGGCCCTTCTTGGCCTCTGTAGATTCCCATTAGGAGGTGGCAATGTCTCCACCCTGTGTCAGCGTCCCCCAGGGCCATGCTCTGTGCTGTCCCTCGGGTGTGTGCCCGCCCCGCTCCGCCCCCACACCAGCCTGGACACCTTTGGTGCTCCTTCACAAACTCCACGAGCTCGCGCTCTGTGTGGGGCTTGTCGGGGATGGGCAGGGGCTCCTCCATGAACGGCTCATAGAAGTCCACTTGGTTCATCTTCAGGGACAACTTCTTCGCCACCTGTAACAGAAATGGGACGTGTGGGTTTGCACGCATCGAGGAGCAGAGGTGTTTCTGCCCCACATCGAGTGCGCGTTCTCTGGCAGATGTGGCAGCTGAGGGAAGTTTTAACTTCAGTGCCAGGGGCAGGAACTCATTTTGCCTGTGGTGTGGGCTGTGCCAATCCTCAGCTTTGACCCAAAGACTGGGCTCAAGGAGAGGCAGAGACCCCTGAGAAGGAACCGAGAGAAATCTAGCCATGCAGTCACCATAGCTCTCCCTCGAGAGCCAGGGCGGGAGAGAGGAAGTGAACGATCAGAGGATCTTTGGATCTAGATGAACTCGGATCTTTTTGTGCTGGCTCTGGGGCTTGAACTCAGATCCTAGATGCTGTCCTTCAGCTTTTTTATTCAAGGCTGGTGCTCTACCACTTGAGCCACACCTTCACTTGTGGCTTTTTGCTGGTTAACTGGGGAAAAGAGTCTCATCCAGGGCCTCTGGCCTCGCTGGGATTAGGGGTGGGAGCCTCTGTGTCCCCTAACTGAACGAGTTTTTCCTGGAGCAGGCAATTGATAGAAACGCTTACAGCACACGATCTACAGAATCGGATCCACTCTCTCCATGCCTTGCACGAGCCCGGGAGCCGCAGCGGCTGCAGGTGGAGTGTGAGCACCAGAGTACAGCCTCTTTATACCAGGTCTGCCTGGTGCTTTGCCAGGCTCTAGGAATGGCCCCGCTCACTGGCAGTCAGAGGAAGCCGGGGCAGAGGGGTTCCTGGGCTGTGAGCCCCTCAGTGTGAGAATCTCTTCAGCCCCCTGCAAGCCTGGGGCAAGGGTGAGTCACTCCTGCAGATGGAGCAGGAAGGAGCAGCCCGCGCTCTGGCCGGAAGCCACACGCCAGCCCCCATCAGCGCTGACCTCATGGCTTTTCTCTGGGATGTGATGTGAGAGGCTTGGAATGTGTGCGCAGAGAAGCCCAGGGCGCTTCTCTTCCAGCTCAGAGCTGCCATCCAAGACGGCCCCAGCAGGACACTGGCTCCCTTGATGTCCCCGAGGACCGGGCTGGGCTGGAGCCAGCGCCTGGGGCAGCCGCCGGCCTGCCACTGTGCCACGACCCAGTAACCCCAGTGGCGAAGCAGGATGGCCACTCCGCCGCGGCTCGCCAAGCTCCCGCTCCCTCTATACTCCAAATGTCTGTTTTAAGATTACCTTCTTGTTGACAAGGTGAAGACAGGCATTGAGCCGAGTGCCTGCAGCTCACGCCTGTCATCCCAGCTCCTCAGGAGGCTGAGATCTGAGGATCCCAGTTCAAAGGCAGCCCAGGCAGAAAAGTCCATGGCACACCTATCTCCCATGAAGTAGCAAAAGGCCAGCAGTGGAGCTATGGTCCAGGGAGAGTGCCAACCTTGGTCTGGGAGAAATTCTGGTAAAGACAGAAACGCTACGAAGTACGGATGGCTGTGGTTGGCTTGGGTGCCTGCAAATGTTGAAGCAGCTGATTTCTGCGCACGCCAGTGAGCCACCCCAGCAACCAGAGAAGAATCAACTCAAAGTGCCCACAGACTCACGACCCTCTCTCGCCTCCATCACCTCCAAGGGGCTAGCCCCAGCTCCCCAGGGGCCTGGTGACATCAAAGGAGACAACAACTTCTCTGTCTCACTGGGTCCTCCAACAGGAGGGGCCGCGCGGGCAGGACGCCTGGAACTGCGTCTCCCTAAAGCTTGATTTAGGCTCTGGACTGGAAGATCTCGGCAGGTCTCACACGGATATGCTGCTCAGTGAAGATTCTCTGGAAGGTTTTGAAAATGCAGAGTCCCAGGTTCTATCACCATCCTAAACATGTCCAGATTTCCAGGGGGTCATGTCGCAGCAGAGCTTCTAAAAGCTCATCAGAGGAACCAGTGTTTCCCAGTACAGCAGCCTGGACTGTCCATCGCCTGCCTATCTATCTACCCATCCGTCTATCTATCTGCCTATCTATCTATCTATCCATCCATCCATCCATCCATCTGTCTTGTGCCAGTACTGGCACTTGAACATAGGTACAGCCTGCTGCTGTCCCTTAGCTTTTTCACTTCAGGCTAGCACTCTACCCTTTGAGCTTCATCTCCACTTCTCCAATTCTGCAGGTTCACTGCAGATAAGAACCTCCCAGGCTTTGCAGCCCAAGCTGGCTTTGAGCTGTGACACACAAAGCTCAGCCTCCTGGGTGGCCAGGACTCCAGGTGTGAGCCCGCAGCGCGTCCGGCCTCCCTCTCTTCACAATTCTCTGCCCGTGTCGTGGCTGTGGGTTTGCTGACGCCTTTCCTCCCCACACTTAGCTGGAAACACTACGAGGGTGAGCACTGGTTTTTCTCGGTGAGGCCCCGGTGCGGTGAAGGTGCTCGGCTTGCAGGGCTGGGAGGGGGGTGGGTGACTGAATGCTGATGAATGACGGCGTGGCGTTTGCTCAGCATGGTGCCAGCAGTTACATCTTCCGTTCCTCAGTGGTGTCTTCTTCCCACACGCGCCGTTTCCACTTTCCCTTCGTCAGAGGCCACATCCTGCCCTGGCGCCTGGGCCGGTGTTTGGGCAATGCTGTCTTAGCCTGGGACCTCTGACATTCCCTGGGGGTGTTGTATGAATTGATCCCCCCCTCCTGCCCCGGCTCTGGCACCTCCTGCTGGACCCTGCTGAGCCTGCTGCCGCCCAGCCTTCCCTAGGTACTTACCCCTTTGTCAAAAGTGGCAAAAAACTTGATGTAAGGCTGGAAGTGTTCAGCTGCCTCCTGGAACGCCTTGTAATCTGGGAGGCAAAACAAACAATGGAAGAATCATGTTCAGGAATGCTGCAGACTTCTCTTGTAAAATGACTGCACGATTATTTAGCAGGTATTATTCAGCTAGCTCTGTTCGTTTGCTGCTTCTGAGGTGTTTGAATTCAGGCCTCACACTCACTCAGCTTGCTTGCTTGTCTGGTACTCTACTACTTGAGCCATGTCTCCAGACCGGCTTTTTGCTAGTTAGTTGGAGATGGAGTCTCACAAACGTTTTCTTCTTTTTCCCAGGGCTGGCTTCAAACCTTCACCCTCTAGACCTCAGCCTCCTGAGTAACAAGGATTTCAGGTGTAAAACTCAGTGCTTGGCTGCTTGTTTTGTTTTGTTTTGTCCAAGACCAGACCTTGAACTCACTATCTGACACTTTTATTCATTGTCTGGTGCTCTACCACCTGAGCCACACCTCCAACCCCTGGCTGCTCATTTTTTAGTACTATTTCAACCCATAATTTCCCAGAAGGGTTGGAACGAACTGGTATTTGATTGCCCAAGAGAAGGCATCTTGGCCTCACTAGAGGAAGGAGAGCGAATGCAGCCCCAACAATCAGCGTACAAAAGGGGCAATTTGATGAAGAGGAGGCAGTGTGACCGGGCCCCTGCAGTGTTCCAGGCCAAGAACAGGGCCGGCCACCAAAGGGGAAAGGTCCCCTGGGGCATGGTGCAGGAGGGCAGCCGCCTGCTGGTCAGTCGGGGGCTTGCCCAGCCGTTCCCACAACCCGCGGCAGTGGAGCCCTTCCGTAAGCCTTGCAAAGCCTGCATGAGACCTACTCAGGAAGGTGCGCTGCGAGACAGCAGGTGGGGGAAGGAGGAAGGCCTGTTTCTCCCGTACGTGCATTAGCTCACACATATGCACACGCAAACACATGCACACATATGCACACATACATATGCACACACACAGCACCATAGAAGCCAGCTGACACAATTTCTGTACGCTCATCCCCCACCTCCAGGAGCAGGACAGGATACTCGTCTCCGTTTCCCAGCAGACCCGCGCCCACAGAGGTGGCCTGACACCCCCTGTCAGAGCACAGCCCTGAGACTGACAGGGGACGGTGGGCGGGGGCGAGGGGGGGGGGCTTGGACGGCTTACACTCGGAGTCCTCGCTCTTGAAGAAGCCCAGGAGTTTGATCTGGTCCTCCACGCGTTCAAAGGCCTGGACTTCCAGTTTGTTGTTGATGACTTCCACCGGGTCTTCAATGAGCTAAAAAGCAGCCACACTTGAGTGAGCACAGGTGTGTCCAGGTGAGCAACCCCTACTTCCCCTACACCCCTGCACCCCCACATCCCACACCCCTGCATCCCACACACCACACCCCCACAAACCCTCAATCCGCACCCCACACCCCACACCCCGCATCCCTGCACCCCCACCCCACCCGCATACCCACACTCCCACACCCCCACAAACCCACCCCACCCCTGCATACCTGCACCCCTACTCCACACCCCTGCACCCCGCACCCCACATCTCCCCAGGAGAACACAAAACGGGGACCATAGTCTAGGTGTTTGAACCTGTCCCACCCCAGCCCAGCCGTTGGTGGACAACTTAACCGGAGGGGTGGCGTCAACCTAATTCCTCCAAGTGTCGATTATACCTTAACTGATCATAACTATATACATTGATGGGACGTAAAATGATAGCATGGATTGTGAGTACAACGTGCGCTTATTACATTGAGCTAATTAGTATATCCATCCCCTCAGAGGTGACCTTTCTTCTGGGATGATGAGGACCTTCGACATTTACCATCTTGGCGATTTGTGTTTATATTTTCTGGATGTCGCTGCACTATTGCAGCAAACCTCACAGAGGAGCCCCTCTGCCTGCCTGAGGAGGCATCTCTCGCGCCATCTCGTCCCTTCCCCTCCTTCTGCCAGTGTCCCGTCCCTTTCCCTCCTTCTGCCAGTGTAGCAGACTGCTGCACTGAGTGAGAGAATTCACATCTTGCTGTGACACAATCCAGACCTGTGACCCCAGTGCCCTGTTTCCATGGTGACAGGGAGTCAGCCCTGCAATGTGGATGCTGTTGTTCTCCGTGAAGGCCAAGGCCCTGTTTTGGCCCCTGTCAGGGTACCCTGCTTTCCCGCCCTTCCTTCCCCGTCTCCCAGCCCAGACGGCTTGCACAGGTACACCGCACAGATACTCACATCCAAGAGAAACTCCACTAACACGTCTGCGGCGAACTCACCATCGAACTCAATTGTGTGATCGCCCTTAAGAATGTACAAGCTCCCTTCTTCATCAAAGCCTGGAAGCACCGAGAGGCTCGAGGTCAACGTTGAGGCCATACTGATACCAGGGAAGCCCTCACTTGGTCGGAACAGTGATGGGGTCAGCACAACCAAAGACCCAGACCCCTCCAAACACCACCTCCACACAGCTATCCCAATCCCAGCAGCTCAGGGGGCTGATCTGAGAGTCACAGTTCAAAGGCCACCTGGGCAGGAAAGTCTGTGAGACTCTTGTCTCCAACTAACCACAAAAGAGCTGAAGTGGAGCTGTGGCTCAAGTGGCAGAGTGCCAGCCTTGAGCAAAAAGTCAAGCAAGGACCCCGAAGCCTTAAGTTCAAGCCCCAGTACACACACACACACACACACACACACCCCTCTCAAAGTATTCACTCCATTTGAAATAGCCAAGAATTAACAAGTCCACTTGGGTTTTAACTTAAAAGAAAAATCTAATTTCCCACCCTACTTTAGTTTTCTAACAGTACAGTGTGTGTGTGTGTGTGTGTGTGAGAGAGAGAGAGAGAGAGAGAGAGAGAGACAGACAGACAGACAGACAGACAGACAGAAACAGAGAGAGAAGGAGAGAGGGAGGGAGGGGGGAAGCAAAGGGGAGAGGGAGAGGCTTGAACTCAGAGGTCTGCATTCTTCCTTTCTCACTTGACTTTTTCCTACTCAGGATTTTTTCCTACTCTACTGCTTGAGCCCGAACTCCCCTTATGGCTTCTTCCTGGTTAATTGGAGATCGTCTCATAGCCAGGACTGGCTGTGAACTGTGACCCTCACAGCTCAGCCAGGATCACAGGTGTGAGACACCGGAGCCTGTTGCTTTTATGAAATTATTTTTCAACCCGGGACTAAGGCTATTTTCTATTAAGATGTGTCCAGTTATCAAGCAAGAATACAACTTCATTGTGTTGTTTTGTTTACAAGATACAATTTGTTTCTTCCTATTCTATCTCTCCGATCACACTTACCCAATTTCTTGGCAAGCTTGGCTTCCTTTTTGGCATCAATCGTCATGAAGCCGATGTCTTTATGTTCCAGGATCTGGGCCACGAGCTTAAAGGACAGAGAAGAGCAGGGGGCTGAGGGCAGGGCTGGGGGCGCGGGAAGAGGCCTTCCTCCCTCACACCTCGAGGACCAGCGCACCCTGGCTGCAGTAACCTGTGCTGGCCACTTAGAAAAGGGACCACACGTGCTGGGAATGGGCCGGAGAGGAACGCGTGTGCGCACTGCGGGCACTGCGCTCTGCTCCCGGCAGACAGAGCTTGGTGAGGGAGAGAATCCACAAGGCAGCAGAGCGGAACACCCGCAGATCCCAGACAGCCGTCCTCCGTGCCCCCAAGCTGCCAAACCATCCCACGTAGGAACCCAAGAGGGCCTGGAATAGAGAACCTGAGCCCCAGGACCAAAGGAGTCCCCCACTGGCTATGGGCCAACTCCTACCATCCATCCCAAAGGGCAGAGAATAGGAAGTGTGGAGAAGTTTCCAGAATGAATTAGGAGAGGGGAGAATCTAAAAGAGACATTGTTGTTGTTGTTGTTGTTATTTGCAGATCACAAGATGTCCTCATGTTCAGGCAATTGCTCTACCCACTGAGCTGCCCCTCTCCACAGCTCTACTCCTGCTTTTTAAAGGTTAACCTTAAAACCACTTGTTGCCATGCAATTGTAAGAAATAACACAGAGATCCCATCTGTATTTTATCCAGTTTTCCCAGTCGTAAGCGCTTATACAATGGAGGAACAGCAGGCGCCAGTGGCTCCACTCCCTGCTTTCTGTGGGTTCACTGGAGTTAAGAGTCTCCCAAGACCTTCCTGCTATCTTTGAACCGCGATCCTCAGATCTCAGCCTCCTGTGTAGTTAGGATGACGGGCGTGAGCCCCCGGCACCTGGTGTCTGGCCTCGTTTGATACCTTTGATGTAAGGAGTGAGACAAGTTGGGGTTCTTTTACCTTTGTGTGCCAGCAGTGATGGGTCTGCCCCACACCTGTGTTTGCACTGTGATGGGAACACACTTGTGAGCATGCGGGGCCGCCTCCTGGCTTCTCTCCTCAGTCCCCATCCCCCCACTCTGACACTCTGCCCACACAGCAGTCTGTGGGACCCTTGTTTGTTCTTCTCTTCTCAATGTTAGGAACTTAGCTTCATCCCCTTCCAGTCCTGTTTCATATTCTGCAGTCCTGTTGTTGCTTTCTCCCACATACCCTTAGGATTTGTAGTAAGTCTTGGAAACAGGTGAGTTCCTCTCCCGGCTTTATTCTTTTTTGAAGTTCTTTGACTTTTCCACATACGTTTGAGGATAACCTTTGTTATGTCCACAAAACATTTTACTAGGATTTGGGGAGGGATTGTATTAAATCTGTACATTCAATCTGCCAGCTTGGGGAGAATGCCATCTTTTTGTGCCAGTATATGATGTATTTCCTATATTGCATCTCTGAATCATGAAGATTGTATGCATTTCCATTTCTTAGATTGTCTCTGGTTTCTTTCATTTGTGTGGTGTAATTTTCAACGTTGTAAGTCTTCTTGTTATTTTTCTATGCAAATGTTTGTCTACATCCATGCCACCCTGAGCACATCCAATCTCCCTTGATTTAAATCTGATTTAAGTTATCTTAGGGATTGTAAGTGGTATGATATTTTTATCTTTGGTGTCATATTGCTAGTGTACCAAAATGCCATTATCTTGCTCACATGTGTCTTGCTAGATCCATTTATTACTTGTAAGGAGTTTGCATTGCATTTCATTTCTTCGTGTATTGAAGTACAAGGTCTCACGCTTCCTCTGGTTCTGGGTGATTCCTCAATGCCTTTTAAAATAAAAAACCTCTCTGCTGTTAGTATAGAAGGAAAACACTAGCAATGGTAACAATTACACACAAGAAAGGCTTGAATGGAGAACTGAAAGGAGCGTGAGTGGGGCCTCTCCCAGCCCAGGCCTGTGCAGTTCCACTCCGCCCTGTGCACCATCCCAATCACAGTGGACCTCTTCCTATGTTATGATTACACGTGACTTACACAATGCAGGACTGGGCAGGGCGCTGGCTCACGCCTGTCATCCTAGCTACTCAGGAGTCTGAGATCTGAGGATCATGGTTCAAAGCCAGCTTGGGCAAGAAAGCCTGTGGGCCTCTTATCACAAAAAAATCCAGACCTGGAGCTATGGCTCAAGCGGTAGAGAACCATCTTGAGTGAAAAGGCTAATGCACCTACTTCTAACACCAAACAAAAAGTCTACAGTATGAAAATGGGAGGAGAACGCTAACCGTTCATTAAGATAGACAGAGCAAGACACACGTCAGCTTCCGGGATCGTGACTCTGGGAAAGGTCGCTGGCACGCAGAGCGGAGGTGAGAGAAGGGGGCAGGGGAAGAGGCCGTGGGCAGGAGTGGGTCAGCTGCAGCCTCCTGGGAACCAGTGGCTGTCCACGTCACGTGTCCCTGGGGCCTGGCACAAGCCAGGGCCCCGGTCAGGCCTCTGCTCCTGGGACTGGTAAGTCATGGATGACCTTGAATGGAAAGCTGGGACAGAAGCCAGGGTGCCAGGCACCAACCGTCGAGTGGGTGGTGAGGACGGGCTGCAGCAGGTGCGGACGGCCCGCTGAGCCTCGCGGGGACAGGAAGGGTGAGCACAGCGCGGCCGTGGCCGGTGCTCTGGGCCGGACAGAACCACACGACCCCCAGATCTCACCACGTCTGCCATCCGCCCCGACGGGGAGGACGGGAGGAGCCTCCCGTGCCGCCCATTCCTGGGAGGTGGAGGAGGAAGGAAGGCGAGGAGGTGGGATTTGTTCTACTCGTGGGGGGTGAGGACTGGGCCTCGTGAAGGAGTGAGGAGCGATTCTTGCTGTAGCTCCAAGAGTCGGAAAATAAAGAAGAGTCTGGAATTGAGGCTCCTGAATGTCACCCGATCTCTGCTCTGGTCCTGCGGCCTGGCGTTGGCTGCCAGCCCATCCCTCCCCCTCCCCCCAGGTACCCCACAGGCTGAGCGGCTGTGGTTATGACACTCCCTGCCGCCAGCTGGCTTTGCCACAGGTTCCAGTCCTCCGTGAACTGGAGAGCTGACGCTTCTTCTACCTGGCCGCTGCCTGTGCCCTCCAGCCACGCCCTCTGGTCAGGCCCAGGCTGAGGGCCTTGGGGCTAGCAAGCCGCACACCCCGTACCCATGAGAGGAAGCTGGAGCAGGGAGACCACAGAGATTTGGTTGTCTGTGTGCTTTTTCCTTTGTCCTGGTACTAGGGCTTGAATTCAGGGCCTGTGCGCTGTCCCTGAGCTTTTTCACTCAAGACTGGCACTCTACCACTTGAACCACAGCTCCACTTGCAGCTTTTTGTTGGTTAATTGGACCTAAGGGTCTCGCCACGGACTTTCCTGCCTGGACTGGCTTTGAACCACAATCCCTGAATCTCAACCTCCTGTAGTTAGAATTACAGGTGTGAGTCCCAGCACCCGGCTTTTATGTTGTGGTTTATATTTTAAGGTAGCGGACTGAGCCTTGGGTGCCCAGGGGCATGCTGTGCCCCCCTCCCTGGGTGGCACAGCCTGGTCTTACACTGCAGGCACAGGTTTCTGTCATTCTCCTACGCTGTGTGCACAGGCTCCTAATGAAAGGATCACAGGGGAAGCGAGTGAGTGTCCACACAACGTGTGTGTGTGTGTGTATGTGTGCCTGTGTGTGACTATGTGTGTGTGTGCGTGTGCATGTACCTGCGTATGACTGTGTGTGCTAGTACTAGAGCTTGAACGCAGGACCTTTTGCTCCCGCAAGGCTGGTGTTTTACTACGTGAGCTCTTGAACCACGCCTCCACTTCTGCCTTTTTGATGGTTAATTGGTGGTAAGAGCACCTTTCCACCAGGTGCTGGTGGCTCATGCCTAGCTACTCACAAGGCTGAGATCTGAGGATCACAGTTTGAAGCTAACCAGGGCAGGAGAGTCTGTGAGACTCATTTCCAATGGAATCACAGAAAAAGCTAGAAGTGGTGCTGTGGCTCAGGTGGTAGAACACTAGTTCTGAGCCCTCAGGCCCTGAGTTCAAATATCAGGACCAGCAAAAAAAAAAAAAAAGGTGGGGGGTAAGCACCTTTCCATGGAGGGAGATGGATGGAGCTGTGGTGGGAGCAGAGGGACTAATTTTAACAAGGGACCCGGGGCTCAGGGACGAGCCCCTCTCGGAGACTCCTGATGTCAATGTCCGTGACCACAGGCCCGCCTCCTTTGCAGGCACAGCTGGGCCACCGGCAGCCTGGCGCTTCCACCCTCTGAGCCTTCCTCCATCTGTGAGGCCTCGGGGGAGGCGCTGGGGGAGGCAGGGCTGAGCCTGTAACCCAGACAAAGGGCCCAGCCCTTGTGACCGGACCCACGTGTGGCCACGTGACCTGGGTCAGAGCCTCTTACTGCCCAGGTACAGGCCATGGCCTGAGGGGGTGGGGGAGGGGGCAGTATGGCACAGGAAAGAAGAGACAGAAGACAGAGACAGAGACAGAAAGAGAGGAAGGAGGGAAGGAGGGCAAGAAGGAAGGAAGGAAGGAAGGAGAAAAGGAAAGAAGCAGGGAGAAGGTGGATGGAAGGAAAAGATGGGAGAAGAAGAAGAACAACAAGAAGAAGAACAAGAACAAGAACAAGAAGAACAAGAAGAAGAAGGAGGAGGAGAAGGAGGAGAAGAAGAAGAAGAAGAAGACAGAAAGAGGAGGAGGAGGAGGAGGAGGAGGGAGAGGAGGAGGAGGAGGAGGAGGAGGAGGAGGAGGAGGAGGAGGAGGAGGAGGAGGAGGAGGAGGAGGAGAGAAAATCCAGAGCAGCAAATTCTGCATTCCCTGTCCTGGTCATAGAAGTCTAGAGTTAGCAGATCAGCTCCAGGCTGAACTTCCTGCTCTCTGCTGCCACCACTGCCTAGAGGGAAGGTGTGCAGCTGGGTCGGGGCCTCTTGTGGGCTCAGTCTGAGATAACAGCACGCCGTCAGCTGGCCATGAGCGTGCTCTGATGGGTCCTCTGCTAGTGCGCTTGGGAGCAGGTGTGCGGGCAGCTATGTGGGCGCCGGTTCTCAAGCTGAGTAAACTCTGCTCCCCTCCGTGTCCTCTCTGCACCCAAAGGTCCCGTGTCCTCGCCACATTCCCTGCCCCCTGCCCTGAGCGTCCACAGAGAGGCCCAAACCCCACACTCGGCCCTCACAGACGAGAGGCAGCGCAGTGAACCTCAGAACTCACTCAGGATTCTGGGATGCTTCTTACGTTGGTGAAGTTATTTGGGTGAATCCTGGGCGGCTTTGTGGGATTGTATTATAGTCCATCTCTTGGGGATCTCGGCTCATCCTGAGTTTCCCGGGGGGAAGTTTAGTGATCGAACTATTTGATGAACCCAAATTGTCTGGCTGCGCTGGCCAGTGAGTGGTGCAGGTCCCAAGGGGATCTCTGCAGAAAGGCGCGAGGGCTGGGTCGGGGTGGGGCCCGCAGGAGGCTCAGGGGGCCTGGGAGGGCTCTGGCATGGTGCCCTGGGGCTGTGGGTGGCCCTCAGCTGCCGTGAGATACTACAGAGATTGTTTCTGAGCCACTCACAGGGGATTAGAAGCAGCCCTGGTGCCAGGTGGCCGAGAGGCCTCATCATGTAGATAAAATAAGAAGTGACGTCAGCCTGTCCCTGTGCCCACACCAAGAACTTCCTGAGAGGAAAAAAATTCCCACTCACGCGTGTGCGGCTGAGAATGCCACGCTCTACGCCTTGTAGCGAAAAGCCAGAGGAAAACCGCTGCGGAGAGGCAAGGTCAAACAACCCTCGTCCCCAAGAGTGGGGGTGAGGGAGCCGGCACGGCCGGTGACCCCTAAACATCCCGTCCTCCGGCACTCTACACTCTCTCAGGAAAAGCCACGGAGCCAGAGGGACGTTCCAACCGGACACCGCTGTGCACCTGACCTGGGACTGTCCGCCTCAGTTTCCCTTTTGTGGGCTTCACTCACACATCCTGGCATTAACGCACGATCATCGCCAAAGGCAGCAGACCTCAGGATACATGTGTGCTCTGCACCGTCATTTCCACACCCCAAGCCCTGGCCAAAGGCATCCTGACCCCTGGGCCCACCGAGGCAGGAAGCTACCTCCCCCCCTTCCCCCCCCCCCCCCCCCCGCCACTCACCTCCAGGACAATCTCCTTCATCTGGAACTGTTTCTGTGCCACCTTATCTGAAGACACGGGCTCGTGGTAATAGAGGCAGAGCACATCGTATTTCTTCAACATCTGCTTGAAGTTCTTCTCTGAGAGGCTCAGCACACGGTCTTTCCCATCGTACGTGGGGAAGTTCAGCCCTTCTTCCGCCCTGCAGCAGCTCAGCAGACAGACCCCCACCACCAGGAGGTGAATTCGCTCCATCTGGGGAGAGTTTTCTCTCTCTTCCCCCAACACGGCAAGCGGGAGCAGGGAGGTTCCCTGGGCTGGAGGTCCGTGTGGTCCTGGGCTGGGGACTGGGAACGGAGTGGAGGATCTGGGCACATGCGCACTGAGGGAGGCCTGGGGGGGGGGGGAGGCTGGGGGGGCCAGGGGCCGGATTGCTTGCCCGGCCGGCCCCTGGCTCATTAAGAGCTCCATTTTTAGGATGCAGTTGTTTCAGGCTAAAAATAAACGGTGCCATGAATTTAAAGAACAAGTCCGACGTGACTGTGGAGAGATGCTCTGGGCAGTGTGTCTGAGGGCAGAGAGGCCACGGGCAGGGGCGTGCACGTGTGCTGCCATCTGGACACCCCACTCATCCAAAGGAGAAAGAGAAGAGAGGGCACGGGAAGATGGGGGTGGGGCGGGGAGCAGTCCGGGCAGAGAGGGCATAAGAAACAGAGAAACTGAGGCAGCGGCCGCTCAGGCCCGGCCAGGCACCGCTCAGAGGTGGCATTGTCAAACCCTGTGGTGCCACAAGGCCCGTCCTTTGCCCGCCGTCCTCTGCCCGCTGAATGGCAGCCCGGGAGCGGGCAGGGGCCCAGGGCTGAGATCGAGTTCCGCTGGCCTGGCCAAGTCTTCCTGGAAACCTGGCCCTGGCCGAGCCTCCATGCCGGGTCCTGGCGGCCTTGTCAGCACTGGGCACCGGGCACAGACGCCCTTCAGCACCAGCCCAGCCCACCAGGGGCTCTGAGACCCCAGCCTGCCCGACACCCCAGTTCCTTTTTATTTCCACTGCCTGCATCTGAGCCTTGGTGTGACAGAAGAACCATCCTCATTACACACATGCACACGCACACTTCCAGCTATCGTGCGTGTGTGTGTGTGTGTGTGTGTGTGTGTGTGTGTGTGTGGTTAGTTGAAGAATCCCACAAACTTTCCCACCCAGACTGGCTTTGAACTGCGATCCTCAGATCTCAGCCACACGAGTGGCTAGGATGACAGGCGTGAGCCACAGGTGACCCCTGTGTGTTGACTTTCTTCCCCAGTATGGATAAGATGGATGCAGAGGTGCTCAGAGGTGGGATGATCACGGTTCAACACCCCCATCTGCCTGTTCGCCCCTGCATAAATGGGGTGGCTGCGGAGCTCGGAACTCTCAGGAGAGCTCCAGAACCCGCTGTGTGGCTTTCTGTCCTGAGGCAAGGGTTCCTAACTGAGCTTGCTGGTGGAGCTATCTCCTGCCTTCTCCTCTTGAGCCTCGCAGACACCGGAGGCCGGAGCAGCCATGCTCAGCGTCCGTGGGAAGCTCGCTGACGGCCCTCGAGAGGGCTCCGCTCCACCTCGGAGCCCAGCCACCCGCTTGAGCCTCCAGTCTCTCTCCACAAGTCTGGGGTCTGCAGGGAGCTCACTGCCATGCCTTTGTCTCTCGATCCTAGGAAGCCATGGCTTTGTCATTTCACCGGGACCAGAAGGGACAAGGATCCCAGTGGTGAGCCCCGGCCGGCCGGGAGCTTTCCCGTGGAAGGCTGCTGGGTGGAGCGAGGGCCGGCTGCCTTTCCAAGGTCAGCTTCCCGACTCCATCCTGCTCCATCTCTCCCCAGGCAGCCGGATTTAGAACTTGGCCCACTTTTCTTAGTGTGTACCTGTGGTTTTTTCCTTTTTTTTTTTTTTCTACTGTGACTGAAAAGCTGGGAGGTATTTAAAGGCACAGTCTGTCATTTCTTGCTGACTTACAACTGGCAAAACTGCCAGGGACAAGGGAAGTGTTTTTTAACTGAGTTTAGCCCAGACGTGTGTCTTCTGATGGCAAGGCCTGTCTGTGGGGTTCCTGCCCAGTGTCAGGGGCACTGTGTGGGGCTCGGGGATGCCCAGACCCTGCCAGGGCCCTGTGTGCCCATGGCCAGACCGGGAGGGGCCGGGTTGGTCTGCTCACAAGACCTGTGCTTTGAGGTCACCAGCTCTGTCCATTGTGTGAACATGGCTGGATCAAGCTTGTATTCCACACATAAGCTGCCTCACAGGGCATTTGCTGCCGCAACTCCTCCCACAACCTGGCAGACTTGAGCGTTTGTATGCGTCCATAAGCAGGTATGTTCCGTTGTTGTGTAAAACAACATGAACAAACCAAATGCAAACAGACGCTTGCTACCAGCACACAACCCAAGAGAGGTCTTTTATCAAATCCCATGCCTTCACTCCGCCAGGGAAGAATCTAGAATCTTCAAACCTCAATCCTCTGCATTTATTTCTTCTTGGTAAGAGAGAAAGCAATTTGCATATATTATTTTATTGGCTATTTTTCAAGTTCTAAGCAAATGGGGATTCGACTCAATGGTCTGCTTGCTTGCTTGTTGGTTAAACAAAAATCTTACGGGATCTTGTGTGCACCAGACACTCTTGCGGGTGTCAGAGTTATGCGAACAGTAATCAAAAACCAAAATGTGAAGGCACCGGCGTGTGTGCATGCATGTGTGAGCGCATGTGTGGGGTACCTGTGTGGATGCACGGGAACATATGCACGTGTCAGTGTGCATGTGAGCGTGTGCACAGGTGTGTGTGTGCGACAGGTGTCAGGCCAAGTGTTTGCCCTGAACAAGGAGGAGAAAGGCCAGGGAAAGCCCATGGCAGCAAGCTGTAACAAGGGGTTGCGGGGGGAGGAGGGGGGGCAGGGGGAGCACTGGGAAGCCTGGGCCAGCAAGCAGTAGGAGAGGGTGCAGAGCCTCCAGGGAGCGAGGTCCCCACAGCACTGGAGGCGGGGGGCTGACAGGCTCCCCCTCCTCTCCTTATGTCCTCTTGGTTTTCCTCCTGGGTCAATGTTAGCTGTTAGAGCTCGCATTCTCTCACCCACCCCAGGCCATACCCACACAGGAAAGCCCACTGGCCTCCATCCAGGCAGCCGTGCCCACTGGAGTGACCCGCCCAGCAATGTCCACCCCTCAGCACTCACACGGCTGAGCTGTGGGAGGACAGCTGATCCCTGCCCTTCCAGTTCTAGAACACAGACCAGTGTCCTCTTGGCATGTTTTAGAACATGGACACCGAGGCCCCTTGGCAGGCTAGGCCAGCACACACCAGGGCTGTGTAGTCCTTGAGGCGGCTTTGGCCAGCAGACTCCAGACAAGCCCGAGCTTGCCGGCCCTAGCAAAGCCCAGGAGAGACCTCCGGGTGCTTCTCTGGCTAAAATGCTCCACCTAGTGGACAGAAGACTTCATAGCATCGTGTTTTGTCCATTCTGTTCCTTCTTCCCCTTCTGTGGGTCCCACCAGGGTCGGGGCCGGCTGACCAAGGCCACTCCACGGTGTATAAAACGTCTGTATAAACTCCACACCCACTCCGCTCGGTGAAGCCATGGCTGTGACCCGAGCCGTTCCACTCTGAGTACCGGAGCCAACGCAGAACGCCGCCACGCCACACTTGTGCAAGTCAACAACCACCATCTGGTCACACCGATAAATAATTAAATTCAAAGGCACAGGGCCACAGAGGCGTGTCAGGCCCATGTCAGAAAAACAAGGCCTGTGAACATGGGAAACACCACGCCCAGAGGCCGAGCAGCTCCTTTGCCTGGCCTAGGCAACGGAGGAATGCCAGGCCCCGAGACTCGCTCCAGCCCAGCCCCGGGGCTCCGCCTGCCAGCCCCCCGCACAGCCCCCCACACAACGCCACCCATGTGAATCACCATCGGTCCAGACCCAGGAAGCTCAAAAATCTTAGTTCCTGGACTCAATCTCAGACTAGCCTCACAGAGCAGGCATGGCTCAGCATTCCTCCCAGCCTGCCTGGGCCTGTAGTAGTATTGGGTAAATATTTGTTAAATAAATACGTGGCGTTTCTTTGTGTAGGCCTTTGTGAAAGTTCTTACACATTTAAGCAATTTACGTCTCTTAGCAACACAGTGAGCTTGTAGACTTGTAATACCACCCACTCAGTAGGCTGAGACTAGAAGTTTCAAGTTTGAAGCCTGCCCAGACAGAAAAAGTATGTGAGAATGAATGTCCAAATAACCAGCAAAAAGCCAGACTGGAGGTGTGGCTCAAGGGGTAGAGTGTTAAGCAAGTCGCTGACCAAGTACAAGGAGTTCAAACCCCAGTACTGGAGGAGAAAAATATGACACCAACAACTTTAAAAAGGGAAGAGAAATGCAAGGAAGGAAGGAAGGAAGGAAGGAAGGAAGGAAGGAAGGAAGGAAGGAAGGAAGGAAGGGAGGGAGGGAGGGAGGGAGGGAGGGAAGAAAACTGGTTGCCAATGGTTCATACCTGTAGTCCTAACTACTCAGGAGGCTGAGATCTGAGGACTGCAGTTCAAAGCCAACCTGGGAAAGGAAAGTCTGTGAGACTCTTATCTCCGGTTAACCACCAGAAAACTGGAAGTTGCGCTGTGGCTCAAGTGGTAGAGCGCTTGCCTTGAGCTGAAGAGCTGAGGGACAGCACCCAGGCCCAGAGTTCAAGCCCCATGACTGACCAAAAAAAAAAAAAAGGGAAGGAAAACTTGAAGGAAGGAAGGGAGGGAGGGAAGAAGGGAGAGAAGAAAGGGAGAAAAGAAAGGAAGAAGGGAAGAAAAGAAAGGAAGAAGGAAAGAAAGGGAGAGAGGAGAAGAGAGGAGAGGAAAGGAGAGGAGAGGAGAGGAGAGGAGGTTTCGTATAGCTCAGTACTTGACAGATGCCCTGTGCAGACTTCAGACATGTCTCTGGGCAGCTCTCCTCTAGCCTGTGGATTCGGGCCATCTCCTTGAATGGTCAGCCCCTTCTCAGTGTGGATTCAGGGTCACCTCACACCCAGCATCTCTCCCTGGGGTGGCAGGGCCCAGCAGGAGGCTGTCAGCTGGCTCTAGTCCCTTGGGGCTGCGTTCTTCTGTGGTCCGCTGTGCAGTGTCTCATAACTGTGGTCTGCTATTTCCATTAAGAGGTAAGCTTGCTTCTTGTTGCTCCATTTGGGCTACAAGTTGAAATTTAGTATCTTAGTCCATGTGTTTAATCTAACAGAACAGAAGTATACCACTCTTAGGAATTGCAGGAGTTTGTCTCCCAGAGTCGT